ATTTTTTGTTTCTGCATTTTTGTATTTTATTTTTTTTATTTTTTTATTTTTTCCTACTTGCTTTGATTCTGTTTTATCTTCCTGTATTTTAATCATGTAAAGCACTTTGCATTGTCTTTGTACTGAATTGTGCTATACAAATAAATTTGCCTTGCCTTATAAATTGATGAAGATTTTACCAGAAATGACGACTGTGTCAAGCTTTACTGAATACAGCCTTTATTTTTTTTTTGTCTTTCTATAGTTCAAGTTTGTCAGTGCCACCAAATGAAAAGCGGCCAAAAAGATTGAAAAAGTAAGAGGTAGAGCAAGTGTTCCATTCTTACTGTGATCAGTGTAAATATAAAACCAAGACTTTTATACATAAAAGGATTGACCATCTAAAAGGAGGCCAACTGATAGAAAAAAAAAAAGGTTTCAAGAACAGCAGCTTCTGAGGTTTTGCTAGCGTTCCCTTATTATTCCAAATAATGAAAACCAACTCACTGGTTTCCAAAAAGAAAATGGCAAAGCTTACCAGAGACATTGCACAGACAGCTATAGTATTATCATTGGTTTCTGAACAGGAGAAGGAAAACTGCCTCTGCATAGTATGTATAGTCTGACAGGAATAATTCATGCCTCTGCATAGAGTATGGGAGAGCACAGAAAACCAGAGCAGCAGTCCTATAAATGTAGGATATTCAGCTGGCCATATGAGTACAGTCTGTGTATATCTGGCACACTGCATTTAAACTAACACTAACAACTTCCATCCAGCTACACTGACAGGTTTAGACAGTGTCATGTCACATAAAAAAAATAGGGAATAATATTTACATCTTCAGCATATAAATTACTTCCCTAAAACACCATCTTTGTAAGGCATATTAAGCTCTCTGGAACAATCAAACACAAAAACATAAGTGCCTCATACAAAAAGATTAAACTGACTTCTGATTTCAAAAGATGGGCACAAGCAGAGAAAACATTGAAATATTGATAAAATATAAATCAAAACCATAGCAAGTCCAAAAATAAGAAACAGAATTAATGCAGTTTTACATCAGAACAACTTGGAAAATGGCACGTAGAAATAGATCAAGCTTTAAGCTTGATTATGAAAACCCCTGAATACTATCAGGTAGTAACATCACAACACTCGAGCTGACTCTTTGATGCCAGAGAGGGATGAATACAGAGCGATGGCTGCCTCTGATCGAAGCCAATACGGGATGCTTTACAGTCACAACGCCGAGTACTCCAGGAATGAATCCTCCTGCCCGGAAGGTGAACCTCTGACATTTTCATTCAGTTTTCTCTTCGCCCCTGAGCCTCCCACAGGCTGCAGCCTTTGTTCTGACCAATCACATCATGGCAAAAGGAGGTCAGACAGAGAAGGCTTGGGTGTCGTTGTATTCGCACTTCAACCATAAACAGTATCAAAACCTTCACTATCATGAGAAAAACGTTTTAAATATGCAAAAAATAGCTTTCAGCACACTCAAATAGAAGAGTTGATTTTGCATATATAATTCATCAACAAGATGTTACAAACATATAATGAGCTGGCTCTGAGGAGTTAGAGGGAATATGTGTGTGTTATGGGGGCCAATACAAAACAGCTGATTGAACCGAGTTCATATTTTGTCAAGTTGGAGAGCTGCCCACACACGAAGCTTAAAGGAGTGACCGCATAAGTTCACTTTACCATCGCTCTCCCTGTCCTGAGGTGCTGTCAGTCTAATTTATCCTCCCATAATGGGAGCGTTTGGGAGTCTATTATTCCAGTGAGTTTAGTTTTTTTTTTTTTTACTCATTAAAAAAAAATTGGGAGGGGCCATTGATTCGATGACAGGTCCACATGTTGACGAGGTGGAGCCTGCATTGAGCCCATCAATCATCCAAGATGACCTTGACGAAGCTGGCCACATCTGTCTCTTTAGAGTCGTGCAGAGTGAAAAATGGATGCTTCTGCAGAAAAAGAAGAATGAAGAGGTGAGAAACCAGTCTTTGAGCTCAGAATCTTACATTTAAATGCTGTTGACACAAATAAGTGCAAACAATCAGTGAGTTAATGGGATGAGTCTGACCTCTAGTGGATGAAAAACAGAAGAGAGAAACAGAAGGACTGACAGTAATTATGCTCTATTTATAGGAAGCAATGTAAAGAAAAAATTACTAACCATTAATTCTGTGTAGGCCGGCCTTTCATCTGGTCTCTTTCTTAAGCTGCAAGGAGCAGAAAATAAACATATTTTTTTAAATATTAATAAAAAAATCTATCATAAATTAACAAAGCATGCAAAGAGTGCAGACCTAAAAAAAAGTTATAATGCTGAAACCTAATATCCTTTAATTGAACAGACAGCAAATAGTGACCCCTGCTGGGCCTCTGAATTTTATGTTCTCTGCAACTGTAGCAGTGATTGAGATCCTGACTGCTTGCAGGAGGCTCACCATTGCGAGATGAAGTCTACAAACTCTGGGGAGAAGCGATCTGAAGGCAGCTGTGGGGACGGCTCATCCACCACTTGCTTGAGCTGCTGGAATGGGGTACCCCAAGAGTCATATGGGAATTTCAGAATGGCCAGCTCAATCTGTGAAGAGAGAGAGGAAAAATAAGAAAACCTGCTTTAACCAGAGCTGTTCAAGTTCCTGTGCAGTTTCAGGGCTTTACTTTAAGGTCATGCATCTATTAAATGTTTATAAATGCTGGAAACTATCTGAAACTGAAGGTATTTGAAGGATATTTGTATGACTATGTCATCCATATATGTCACACAATGTCCTAATTATTCTATCAAATATTTTGCATATGAATGTATATTATGGATTTATAAGATTTGCAGAGAAGCAGTTTTTAGGGAATTTAGGAGAAATAAAGATTTGAGCCTATTTCCCTTGTGCACGCTGTTAAAAAGTTGCTGTTTGCATCGCTCATGCAAGCTTACTGCAGTTTTTCCACTACGTCAGACTCAACACTGGTAATTGAAAATGGAGACGAGCACGTAGGACGGCCTTACGTAAACATATCACCAGAATGATTGACAATTAGGAGGACCACTTATTTTGATGATCCACCCCGGAAAAAAAACATCCTCCACTATACCTTTATAGCTGTGCAATACGACTAAAACATAGGTAACAATATTATTCATTAATTCATATTGGTCAATATTAATATTTATTGATTGTGTTGTTTTACCTATTAGAAATTAGTGACATTGGTAAAGTCAGAACACTGTAACTATAGCCCTATTTACAGAGAACTGACATGATTACATAAGGCTAAAACATTAACACTGAGCCAAAGGAAAGAAAGAAGAGCCACACGTAACATTGCTCACCATAGTGATGCCAAGACTCCAGATGTCTGATTTAACACTGTAACCCTGTTGATTGAGGTCGGGGTTGATCCTCTCAGGCTGAAAGGAATAGAATTTGCAACATAAGGAATACATCAACAGCAAAGGCCATCATTTATTTCGGCACCAAATAAAAATGTGACCAATTCCACTGGACCAACAGCAGATGTCAAGTTAATTTCACCCTCCTCTTTACCCCCCCCTTACCGCCATGTACGGTTTGCAGCCGACGTCCAATGTTTTGGCCACAGAATCCACCAGGTGGCCGCTGATGCCAAAGTCACACATTTTCACCTGACCCTGAGCGTTGATCAGGACATTGGAGGGCTTCACATCTGAGGACGGAGGTTGAGAATGTGAGAGAATTTAAAACCCTTAGAGCATCATGGAGCTGTACAGTGTTATCACTGGGAAACAGATCTTCCCTTTGCTTACCTCTGTGTATCACTGAGAGGTTGTGGTGCAGATGTTCTAAAGCCTTGACAATCTATTGATGAATTATAAGAAAGGAAATGCTAAGACCTATGCAAATTAAATGAAACCATTATCCAGTTGGAGAGAGAGTTTGAAAAGAAGGACGTACTGCTACTGTGATTTTGCCCAGGATGTCTTCTGGAATCGTCTGGCCTTTCTGAATAACCTTTTTATAGAACTTATCCAAAGACGTGTCCATTAGTTCCATGCAGATCCAAACATCTCCCTGAAGAACAGTTAAAGTTGTTAAACGTACAGATAAAAACAAAATAAAAATGCAGGAATATTGACTTAATAACATGGGTAAACAGCTGTTACCTCTCTAAAAAGGGCACCGTAGAAAGTCACAGTAAAGAAGCAGTCCACCGTTCTCATGGAAATGTCCAAGTCCATCAGGAGCCTCTTCTGCTCCAGACTATTAACTGTTGCACGAATCCTCTGAGGAAACCAGCAGCACAGACTTATTTACAAACCCATTTATGGTACTTAAAAAAAAAAAAAAGTAACAATAAAAAAAAAGAAATACAATTGTGAGCTTCCCAGTCTACCTTGACGGCCATGATTACACCACTGGGGACGTGTTTCATCTTGTCCACCACTCCGTAGGCGCCCCTCCCCAGCTCTTCAATCTGCTCCAGGTCATCAGCTTCCACCACAAAGTTCTGTATCAGCAGTCAGGAAAATGTTACTGTTGCACATCTTCGGCACAGCAAGCTATCAGGGTAGAGGAAAACAAAGCTTTACCTGATCTCCGATTGTGACACAAGCCTTAGAGTCTAGGTCTCGAGGAGGCCTGCAGACATAAAAAAGAGCAAAATGATATGAAAGAAATAAACAGTCCAGGGGAGGTGAAACTACTAACTTACTCATTATACAGTGTTTTGCTACAGGGTTTACAACCTATGCTAATTGTCATATTTTTGTCCCTTAATAACTTAAAGTAATGGTGCAACAAAAAGTTAAAATAACTGTCAAATGGAAGAAAAAGGGTGCATTTTCTAATCAAGTCCAAGTTTCTCATGGTTGCGGTCAATTCACATAATCGGTAATTTGTCAGACCTTTGCTGCTTTGGCTTTTATAAAAAAAAAAAAAAAAAATCTATTAGAGCCTAAACAAAATACAGCAGAGCAGCCTCTAGGGGGCAACAGAGAGTTTTTCTTTATTAAATCCCTTTTCTGTGAAAAGTTAATAACATGACATTCAAAAATGATGAAAAAACACCATTTGTTATATAAAAAAAACTGCATATTTAGGCCATCTTAAAGGTCTGACTTTGGATTTACGAGAATTAAGTAACAAAAATAAAACATATTTTATATTTTAGAACTGTCCCCATATAGCAATGTTTTTAAACACAGCCTGTTAAAAAATAGGTTTTAGGTCAGTTATTTAATACTATATATCATTTTTTAAACTTTAAACAAGTTAATGATTTAATAAATTAAGACCATAGACAATCGTAGCTCTTAATAACATGTTACAAGTGATCAGTTTGCTATACTGTTAAATTACAGCTTCTATTTATTGGAAATAGTCTTGTTGAAAACAAATTTTGAGCAAATCAGGTGTCCCTTTTTCTGGTTTTATTGCTAGAATGAAGAGAAGAGCCTTACGCTGTAGCTTGGGGCGGTGTAGGTGGAAGATCATCTATGCGTAGCTTCTGCCCTGGGTTCCTCTTCTTTCCTACAAATAAAAAAAAACATACATTACAACCCCAACTCCAACACATGTTTAACAATAAACCAAGCCATAACTAGCATATCCCATAAAGTGGATCATTACAAAATAACCGTAAGAGACAAAAGATTGCCCCTCAAACTTTTTATTAACCAATGCATCAACCTGGTAACAACTTGATCGTTAATTCTTACAATAGGTTCCAAGCTGAAAATCCTGGTAATATTATCATTCCAGTTTTGACGAGGTAGGGGCAAAATACAACAAGATTTTCAAACATTGGTGTTTCACATCTGCAAACTGAAGTTTTTAAAAGGACATGTTAGAGAAAGTGATGGATTAGCAGGAGGTTTTCCTCAGATTTATGCAGTATATTGAAACCCAGCATTGCCCCTCTCCTACCTGTTGCTGCACAATGCCAGTCAGCTGGCCCATACACGTTTCCCCCTCTTACTAAAGAAATTATTTAGAAATATACCCAGTGGTAAAACAATAAAATAAAAAATCCAAACACTAAAGGATATCTATTAATAAAGGTAAACTTTTTATTATGGAAAATATTAGGCAAACAGCAGCACATCTATTAAGCAATCACCTGCGAGAAAGTTACTTTAGCAGATGGTTCAACAAAGTAACCTGCTAAAAAGCAGCTAGTTATAATTATGTTACTCTACAAATCACAGAACAGGAAATAAAGGTATATATGTGGTGCATTAAGAAAATGAAATAAAAGTTATGACTAAATCAAGCATGTTGCTTAAATCCACATATCCAGTTATAAAACAATACATGGTAGAGATCATATTAGATCAGTGAAAAATCCATATATTACGGTATTTAGGCAGCATCATATTTTCTTTTTCATATTTTATTTAAAGAGACAATCCCTATTGCTCAAATACAATAAGTAATGCACACAATGTCATTAGAACATATTGCAGATGTGTTTTGTATTTTCTTAGAGATCATCTAAAGTCATAATAATTGGTATAATAAGAAAAAGAATTAGCATAATTTGAAATAAAGAACTGAGAAAAAAATTATTATTAGCTTTGGTAAGAAGTGAAAGGCATGTAGGTGAAAGGGAAGCATAACTTCCTCAAGTTTTTTTTTTTTTTTTTTTCAAGGTATAACACTGAAAAGTCGTTCTTCTTTGTTTATATAAATCGTCCTACATCGGTTTTCACATGTTGTACAAACCCCTTCCATTGTTCCTACAGCACTGTGAGTTAGCATGAGCAGCTATTTGATCCCTCTCTGCTGAATAAGAGATAGCAATCCACTCATAAACACCGTTTACCAGCAGCCTCGGGGACTTCCCAAAAGTCATTGCAGACTCTGCCAGGATGACGCAGTTACTCACCCTAAAGGCAGCTTCTCAGGAAAAATGTCTCAACTTTTCTTAACTACATATCTGTGGGGTAATCTGGACAGTTAAAGGATTGCAGTGGTAAATCTAACATTGAATATTGAATTAAAATATGCATATTGTTTTTAGAAAACAACTGTTAAAGGCATGTGTTTCTTCTTAATCCAAGACAAATGCAACTATACTTTTAGAATGTGTTTGAAGCATCAAAGCTATGCTTAACTGTAACTGTTATTGTTGCAGGACTGCATTTTCCATTAACCTAGTCACAAAGCAATGCTTTGGAGGAAGTTTGATTGGGTAACCCCCCTTTCTACAATATGCTGACAAGGAAGTGGGGGGTTTTGTACATAGATACAAAAGACCACCAAAGAAAAACCAGCCGTTTTGAGCTGCAAGGCTAAAATAAGCTCACTGTGTCCAGACAGACTACGAGCCTGATGTGGTAGAGAGAAATTGTGTGTAATTTACTCACACATACTTAGACAAAAATAGATTTTACATTTCCTCTGTTTGCCATAAAGCAAAATCATTAAAATGCTGCAGCTGATCAAGACATTAGGCAGGCGTTTGCACATGAAACTACATAAAACAGTTTGCAGGTTTACAACAATGCTGGACTTTAAGCAGCTAGCTACCGAATTAATCAAAGCTTTTAGCTTGAGTGGTTTTGGCATAAAAGCATCAACCGCACAGACCAAGTACCTGCCTGCCTACTGTAAAATATTAATGGTTTAGAAACAGTATCTCCTCTTAGTCAGCAACAGGTGTGTCCAGTAAACAGGCAAGGCTCCGGATAGGGATATGACAAAACTAAGAGCCAATCCCAACGGACGCATCGTCTCAAAACACCACGACTGTCAGGACCCTTCAGGGAAAATGATGTCATTTCACTTGGCTTACATGCGGTGCTACTGAGGTAAACATTAGGCCAAGCTCGGTGCAGGGTTCTGCTGGTAGAGCTCAGCAATCTAAAACTAAGCCCAAAAAATTTAAGGTAATTTAAGTTTGAGTTTGTTTAAGTTAATCTCTAAATCATCTAAATCAATCAAATACCTGAAGACTGATTTTTTTTAGATTAGTTTAGACAGCATCAGTCAATGTTGCATTTATGTTTTAAAAATGATTAAGAGTAATCATTTTATTAATTTCAGCAGCAGTTGCAGTGCTAAATGCAACTGCTGCAGTGAAATACCTTTGCTGATGAAGGCAATGTTTTATTTTTAGAGTAGAGCTTTTATGATGCTCTATGAGGATGCTGTTATATTTATAGTAAAAATCATGAATCCCTTTTAGCAGTCGGTCATATCATTAGGGATAGACAGATACATCGGTTAGCTGATTATTACCCTTTTTTCCTTGTATTGACGTCATCAGATATGGACATGCATATGCAGATTCATCAGTGCATTTAGCAGACAAACATTGAGATCAATGCATTATCACTTCCTCCATTTGGTCACTTTTGATCACTGTAAATCATCATAATAAATGAAAGAATAATATGATAGCCGAACAAATCTCGTTCTTTGCTGCTTGATTATTTAAGCAGCAAAGAACATTATTATTGTTTTTGTTTTTTTTTTGCTGCAGGCTTGGACCTAAACAGTAAAATTTGTCCAAATATGACCCTTAGCAACACAGGATAATGACAATCACAGAGTTCCTGCAATTTTATCAGAGTTTAAGCTTGCTTTAAGACCTTTTAATTATAATAAAGATTTAAGTACAAGACCGACAAACATTAGCTTCTCGTTCTCAAAGTTAAGATTTAAAGTTAGATGACAGGAAAACCCCAAAACAAAAGCCATTCTTAGCTACAACTAAACCAAATGGAAAAAAATAATGTGGACTCTGTGTTTTTTGGAAGAATAAAGTAAATAATGGCAATCCAATGTCTGCACCTGTACAATGTATACAGAGAGAGGGAGGGGTGCCAAACTCCAGTGGTAGGTGGACATTATGCAGGGTACAACCAAAGCATTGCAAGTAAAGAAATGGAAAAAAAAACAACCATGCACACACCCACTCAACCCATAGGGAAATTTTGATGTGACAGCTTAACCGAGCATGGACCATTCTAAACTGTGGGTGGAAGCCCTGAAGCTCAGAGAGAACCTATACATGCAGGGGGGAGAACATGCAAACTCCATGCAAAGATCACCAGGCTTTTAAAACCACAGACCTTTTCATGTCAGGAAACAATAATGACAAACATGCCACCATGCAGCCAAACTAATAATAGACCTTTACATTTTTTTTTCTACATAACATAAAATCCCTTAAAATTTCAATGAGTTTTATTTTCTAAGGTTTTCTAGGTTAGTAAAAGTCCATCCAGCTGGACAAATATATTTTTTTTAATCGATACACAGAGCGTGAAAACATGACACTTGGAAAAATAGTTCACTACTACGTATTGTGTCAAAGTATTTACATCTATAGACATCTATAAGATCTAAAATTGATGCATTTAGAACTATTAAAGTCTGGACTGTTATCAGAGGATAGAAAGGTGGCCTGAGCCTAGAGATGAGCCATATTATATCAGAAAGTGTTAAAGCTTAATAGTAGGGCTTGACAATTAAAAGCGTTAACATTTATAGAGGTAAAACAATAACGTTTTTACTTCAGCCCTGTAAAATGTGTGACTTACATGCATACATGTAGGAAAAGTAGCAGCTAGCGTGCAGACCCATGCACGCATGTTAACAGTACACAATTTTTTACAAAACAATATAGTCTATTGTTGGGAGACTCTATTGAGTTTTCAAGGCCATTTAAAAAAATGGAAAACCCTGGAGCCAAACATATACATTTTTTGGTCAGTGCACAAAAACAAAACAACATCACAATTAGGAAAAACTAAAAATAAATTCCAATTAGAATTTTTGGCAGAAAAAAACAAAAATAAACAAATAAATATAAAGAAAATTCACACAGAACATTAAAGGCCTTGTTAATCTATGCTCCCCCTTACAAACAGATGATTGTTTTCCTTTAATGCAGCTTTGTAAATCTCTTGTACATCTCAAAAGTACAAGAATTGTGTAAAAAAAGTCAATATTTTTAGTCTCTCATTACAGAAAGCCATCCTTATATAGATCAATAAGAGTGAAATATGTCAAGCCTTTAACTAAATTGATTCATTTCAACTCAAAAAACCTGCAAAAGCTTCCAAAGCCTCTTCAAGGTCTCATCTAAATCTGGGTCAGTAGGCTTCATAATCATGGGGAAGCCTGCTGACGTGACAAATATCTAGAAGACAGTCATTGACATCCTCCAAAGGGAGGGTAAGCCACAAAGAGACAATGTTAAAGAAGATGGTTGCTTACAGAGCACTCTAAGCATATTTACAGAAAGTTAAGTGGAAGGAAAAAGGGCTTCAGCAGTGAGGACAGTTGCAATAAGTTTCCCAAGGAGTGAACTAAAGCTGAAATCAGTCATCAAGAACCAGTAGGTATAAATAAGACTCCTAAATACGGCGCACAAATGCATCAAGCCGCTCCTCAACTACTAAATAGATAATCTTTGGTGACACAGTTGATAGCGCAGTAGCAACACCTTATGCTTCAACCTATGACACATAGGGATTCATCGGTTGAACCTGGCAAATCACTGCCTCTCTCTATCTCTCAACACCATCTTATTTAAATAATGGCATGTTTTGGTGGCGGCCACCAGGAGTGAAAAGAGACTTGGGCAACGTTGTTAAATTGCAATCCAAAATTGCTGCTAGCACATCGTCAGAGCATCCTTGTTGAAGCCGTCATGTTAAACATCGAACCAACATATTTAACCCAAAATGGTTTGATGACACTATAGACCCAAAGGCGGAGAATGGTTTGGATATTTTCTACAACATGAACATAGTGACATTATGAAGCTCGCTAACATTATGTTGGCTTAACAGTAAAATGTTGCTACTAAGAAGAGTAGAATAATTAAACCACTATGCTTTAAGTCAATTGTAAAGTATCACAATGTTATCTTCTGGTGATGGTCCACTGATTGTCATTTCTTTCTAAATAAACTTAAGAGATCTTTGAACTTCCTTCTGCTGAAATGCTCTATTAAGATGCCAATTAAATTTTCCAGCAGGGCTTGGTAGCTCTCCAAGCCGCAAAAAGTACCAAATGTTGACCCCAGTGTTACTATGCTTGGTTGGTCAGCAAACTGACCTGAAAGGGAAAGGATGAGGTAATGTCAAAATTAAGATACAGGCATGGAGAAGCCATGCCATGCTGCACTGATGCACTATTTATTGCAGGAGGCCCAACCAAGTATTAAATGCACTGGTATCTAGATACTTCTCAAATATTTGCAGATATTTTAAATTTTGGAGACAATGGGTTTTCTGTTATCTGTTCACAACAAACAAAGTAAGAAAGGCTTAAAATATTTCACACCCCCAGTTTGACTTTCTAAATTTTTTATTTGTGTTTTTTGATTTACTGTAGGAAGAAATGTTTACTTTATTTAAATAAATACCCTTATGACAATTAGTTTTACCCAATGTGATTTTTATTTATTCAACACATTATGTGTAATGCAAAAGCTTATTGAAGCTAAATTTTGAGCATCAAAGCTGCACAAGGAAGAATGCTTCTCACGATTGTTTTTGTTTTTACAGCAGTCAGAAGGAAACTACAAGAGCACTCCTCTCATTCAGCAGCAGTTAGCTACCTGGCAGCTAAAGCTCACCCTAAATAAGTCAACATTTAGCTGAATGTCTGGTTTGTCTTCTTGGCTTGCTACTAATCAATCAGATATGTTAGACTTTACAACCTTTATTGGATTACTGTATTTTCTGCAGTGTAGGAAAACATTTTTTAACACTTTTAAGCATCAGCCCAGAAAAAGAGAATATATTTTACTAAAACTAAACACATACTGTTGTCTCTGAACTTCAAATGCATTTTTATAAAACAATGTATAGTATCCTGGATAAATTATGTGTTAATAATGTAAACCACATTTTCTCCCTGGCATGTATTCATTGCAAAAATCATCAAATTGGTTAACAGATACAATGATAAAACAAATGACACCTAATGCATCAATATTGTTACTAATTCTTATGCATGTCCATATTATTGAATTTCTCTTATGTAGCCAATCAGGATTTTACCTTGCTAATATTTCACAATTAGAAAACATTTTTTTTTTCAGGTAAAATAATATGTGACCCATCCCACCCTGAGCTTTCTAATCTTTCTAATCTAATAGATGACATCAGTTTCTGGTCTAATGCCAATACTAAATAGGGTTAGGCCATCTTGACTCATCAGATACAATGGTGCTATGACATCAGCATCAGTTGTGGTCAAAGTTTATCAAGCAACACAACTCATGACAATTGTTTTCTTTAAAAAAAAAAAGGATATGATTACCAATAGTTCCAAGAAATGGGATGTTTAATGAAAGAGAAAAAAAAAAAAGCTGTCTTAGGAATTTTAAATTCTCTAAATGATATAAAAAAAAAAAAAACGGGAGTACTGAGAATTGTATGAGCTTTTCTAAGCAGGGACTGAGCTAGAGGGGTGCCAGGGGTGGCCATGGCTACCCTTAGCCAATCATTGGCAACATTAAAATTTTTAATATATTAACAACTACTTGACAACAGAAACACTCTGGTTAATTATGCACATCAATATACAAACATTAAAGATGATAGATACGGAATTAATGCTCTTTTCAGAAATACATTTTGAATAATTTAGGGTAAAGATAAAATTATGTGCCTCTGCAAGTCACCTAGGAGTCTTCAGTGAAATAATGGATAATTACTTTAATAATAACTTAAAAATTCATTAAACGTGGATATTAGTAGATTTAAATATAATTTTTTTGCTGAATGATTATTGATAAAAGTAGGTAATGACAATCTAAAATATGTTTGTGCCAGAACTCAAACCTGAAACAATTTTGTCCACCGTCACTTTTATTTACACAGCATAGATGTTTAAATACATAGGCGGTTCTAGACAGGGGCCAACGGGGGCCAGTGCCCTTGTAGATCATGTCCTGGCCCCTGCACTGAAGACATAAAACTCAAAGAAATTCAAATGATGATATGCACTGGAACAGACATGGTTACAGATAGATCCTTTGGATCTATTTAATTTTTTTTTCTTTACAAATTATTTTTTACTAATTATTTAAAAACAATAAGGTGATACCTTCAGTGGTATTGAGGTAGGATCCCACTTTTCATCTGCTATTTTTATTTTTTTTCCAAAACAAATTGCTCTAAATTTTTACAGCTGAATTTATCAGTTTTTCTCGAGTTCTAATTCAGATTTTAAAGAAAACGGCAATTTTAACTTAAATGAAGTCAAAAATATGTTAAATTCCTAAATAATGAATGTATATAGACGTAATAAGAGGAGAATTTTTATTAAACATAACTGAATAGAAATTTCACTTCATGCAGCTATCTTAATATATTTGAGTCCCTTGCCCTATTTTTTATTTCATGCTTTTCTGGACCCCCATAAAAACACTCTAGCCCCCTCGAACATTTGGTCTAAAACCACCACTGTTTAAATACAGTGTTTATACATAAATGTGCAACTCTTATTTAACGCTTTTTAATGCTCTTAGAAATAATCCTAATGCAATCAACAACTACCCATGACAGCCATATCCCGAGTTACTCGTTTTCCGCCACTTTGGTTCAAATTTGCATTTTTCCCCCATTCTCTAGCCTTTTCTCCACCTCAAGCTTCTTTTCCGAAGCCATTTTAATGCCATGATTATCAAATTTAATGAATTTTAATGCCAATTAAGGCCTTACTTTAAAAAAATAATAATTGAATGACCCACGGAAACCCTGAAATAAATACGTCTATTTGTTAGCAAAGGCTGCAGGAAAGTATAGTCTGTCTTTATTTAGAAAATATGGAAGTTGTGCTTGTTCCTATTAATACAGTGTAGATTGACCCCGAGGTTCTGGTGCCTTTCAGCCACCCCTATTAGGATTTTCTGGCTACGCCTCTGCTTCTAAGCCAGCTAGATGTTCGGTGGAAAATACCCGAAATACATACGTAATGTGAACAAGAATTTCTGGATTGTGTATGGGATCAAAGAGTCAATAGCTGTGAGCAGAGTCACCATCAGGAAGCACCAGCCTTAGAGCAGGTCCATATACAGACAGTGATGACTCATGCACAGATAATCTTCCACACCACCCTATCAGGACAGTTAGGGAGAAGCCAATCTCTAAACATGCCGCAAAACTACGAGACCTCAATGTTCTCCGAAAAAGAAAAAAAAAAAAAGTCGGAATTACACGAAGAAAATGTCCCGTAAACGCAGAACCTGTGTAGCAACATGAAGACAGTCAACTGTTAACTAATGAGGAAACTGTGTTGCAGGTCTAAACCTGCCGCCGTGGGGCCGGGGCGCGCGCCGCGGCTGCTGCCCACCATGGTAACGCTGCTATTATTGTGTAACAGCGCGAGCGCTGAACTTGAAATGTAAATTGACATCATTGCAGTCACGCTATGCGTGACGCAAAGCAAGAAGCTTGATTCATTTTTCCAAGGAGTGGTTTCTTTCTTCTTTTTTTCTTTTTTTTTTTTTCTTGCTTGTTTCCCTTTTCCATCTAATTTCACATCTTTGTGAAACGAATCTGTTGAGACGTGTAAAACGTTATAAATACCTGAGTGTAAAAGAAACTAACAGCAACAAAAAAACAAAACAAAAAAAAAAAAACACCTGTGGATTTAACTTCATATATAGATCGCAGTGATTTTAATGTGAAGTATCTTAACATTTAAGTCAGCACAATTCGTCATTACTACGGCTAACTTAAAAAAAAAGCAAATTTAGCCAATTTAATATTAAAAACTACTAATTAACATGCGATATGATAAGGAGATTGTATTCAACTTCTGAAAATCTTTACATTTTGTTTAGTGATTTCCAAAAAGGCAGGAAATGCTTGAGCTAGGCTTCCACCTGGCAAGGTTACATTACACAAAGCTAGCTGAAGTTTCCCTCCACCGGCACAGCGGTAGAAGAATGCGCGTGCAAAATTGACCAAAAAACACTTACCTTTGGATAAAGACATTTCCCCTTTTCTTTGATGAGGGGGAAGGGAAGCACAAAGACTTTTGCCTTTTTCTATTCCCCCCTCCCTGCATCTACTCTTAAACCCGCTCAGGAACGCTGTTTCGTGGGTGCAAATATCTAAAGGTGGACAAAAATAAGCACTTTCCCTTGGAGCTAGCCTAGCGCTAAAATACCTGCTAAAAAAAACGCTTGGCAGCAAGGTGCACAACTTTAAACCTTGAGTAAAGCCGAGCAGTTCGAGTTAGTTTGCTAACAAAAACCTTCGCCGGAGTGGCCAAAGTCTGACAGCTGAGGACTCCAGCAACGTGATGACGTAGTTCCTGTCAGGTGCTAAGCATCATGGAAGGTGTAGTTTCAGGACGTAAAACGGCAAACACTAACCTAACCCTGGAGTTAATATAAAATTTGAGAAAGCGAAACTTTACATATTCATCATTTAATGAAAAAATATAGAAGTAAAACAAGTAAAAGCAAAAACATTTTAAAACTTATTTTCAAATCAGTAATATCAGTGAAAAATGTTTATTAATCACTTAAGCATTGTAAGGTCGTGCTTATTGGGTGGCTTTTACTGATCAACCCTAAAGTTTATTAGCCGTAAACTATAAATGATTTGTTCCCTTTGTGTTCTTTTTCTGATTTTTGCAAAAGCGTAAAATAAAAGACATTTTAGCAATGATACACAAGGATTTAATTTGCATTTGTTAACTTTGAGATAAACCCAGAAGGTACATAGTAAATCTGCACATGACCTAGATTTACAAGCACAAATAAAAGAGAACAAAAAAATTATTATTATTTTTTTTTTGCTTTTAAGGGGTTGAAATAGATGAAAGAAAAAGATGCTCGTCTTGGGAAAAATTAATAGCACTGATGCAAGATTAGTCATGAATCCTATCAACAAACAAAAGTTATTTTTAATTCATAATTTATTTTACAACGGAGAGAAAAAAAATGTCATTCAAAATAAGTAAATAATTCATGAAAACAAGCTTATATTGAAAGATAAATCAATACCTAGAATAAAAAAAATCTATTCTCCTCTATGAGGCTACACAGCGGCCCACACCCACATATATTTGTAAGAAAGCAAAATAATAAATTTGACAAGCAATACCTCTAAAAGGAAAAACATCTCTGGGTAGTAATCATACATATCTAGTCCTGCAAGACAACTACATCACACCAAAACCTTTGAAAACATTTTAGTTTAAATATAATACAGTGGTGCACACAACTGTGGTTCTAAAATGTGAGTAATGGATTAAATATCTCTATTTGACTTAAGAGAAAATAATAATCCATAAATAGTGGGGGTTGTTTTCTTAAAGCAATATCAGTATATGACCCACTCAGTCTTCATTAACAATTACAACAATCCATGAATTCAAGGAGAAACTTCTACTTAATAAGATGATTTTAAAAAATACAGTAACTTCGATGTCATGTTGCTCTTATTACACACAAGTCACAGAAATATCTTACTACTATTGCAGTGATAATCACAGCTTGTCTGTCAATCTTTTCTTTCAGTGTTTTGCTATAAAGCTGGAAGACAAAAGAATAAAGGAAATGTTAAAATGTGATTATCATACAGCTGACACATGATATGAGTGTGCTTTGAAAAATGTGCATGTGATTGTGTGGGCAGATACAGTGAGGTGATACAGAATTCCTGTTTTTACTTCCTGGCAACAAGCAAGCTATGGTAGAGAGGTTTGATCACAATGTGCAGATAGAGGGAGCTATCAATGAGGTACTCTGATGCACGGCGCTGTAGGTCAGCATCCATCAAGAAATCTCCAGCCTCTTCTGTGCTCTGGTGGAAGTTGTACACATGGCGGACAATCACTTTTCCCTGCTGCTTTGCTAGCACGATAATTGTTTTCTGGAAACTGACTCCGGCAAAGTCGGGGCTGGAGGTGGCAGGCGTTACGATGATGCGAGGTCGGCCTCCCTCTGTACGAGTAGGCTGCATGGCACCCAGCTCAGTGTAGGTAGACCTCGCACTCAGTGGGAGCCAGCGAGGGGAGAACAGGGCATTCCACGTTACTCTCTTGTTGGAGTCATGGCCACTTGGCCCAAGCTGGGTCTGGAAGCTGAAACTACGGTCGTCACGAGTAGGGTTGTTGATGATCCAAGGAGAACCCCAAGAAGAGGACAGGTAGTTACGGGGAGTGAAGATACTACAGTTGACATCAAAATATTTAGCCAGCTGGATCGGTGAGGCAGAGTGAAACTGAAAGGCGAGATAAAGGAGATCACGGATGGTCTCATAATACTTTGCCATGAGGGGTGACTGCTTCTGAAGACGGAAGAGATGGTGAGGGGGGATCATGCCATACCGAACCGCCCTAAGGGCAGTCTCTACTGTTGTGCTGACTGGCTGGTTCTGGTTAATCCAGGCCTCCACAGCCTCATAGAGCTCCAGTTCGCTGTGCAGAATGAGGTCAGAGCGCTGGAGCAAGGACAGGAGCAGGTCTTCACTAATAGAACCCCACTCTCCACTCTGCAACACAGAGGACAGATTCCAGGACAGGTACTGCAGACAGCTATCCCGCAGGGTTGCGTCCCCAATTTGTAGTGCATAGTTGTACCAACTAACAACATGGCCTGTGGGTGAATCACTGGAAAGATGTTGAGTCATGTACTGGGTTAGGCCTTGCCGCAAGCCCCACACATGGTATTTGCTGGCCAGCTTGTGCAGGGATACAGCCTGATCGAGCCGTAATGAGATGTCACCACAGTACAAATATCTGAAAAAAATACAAATTTTAAAATCATTGTTAGACAGAACATTTATTTTTGGAAGGTTTCTAAAGAATTATAGATTAACAGAAAAACTGGTTGGTGTCTGAAATTGTTCAATTGTTAAAATTATAACCTATAGTACGGTTCCTCAGTTATGATCTTCAAGGTCTGGTGCCCTGCACCTTTTAGATGTGTCTCCGACACGCCTTGTAACACACCTGTATTAAATGGCTGGATTATCTCTTTAGTATGCAGTCACTTTTGCCTTAGTCTTGCTAATGACCTGATTATCTAAGTTAGGTGTGTTGAAGCTGAAGCACGTTTTAAAGGTGCAGGACACTGGACCAGATTTGAGGAAGCACAAAGGTTGTTGGAAACATTTATATAGGAAATAGCATTTTCTTCAAAGGCATGTTCACCGTTCAATCCATCCACAACAGTATAGTAGTTTGATCAGCAGATATCATAAAGCTGAACATTACACCCCTTTGAATAATTTTAGTTTCTCTTTCTTAAAAGATGTTGGATATAAAACTGCTGCCCGTCTTCTGGAAATCCAACAAATAGGGATCAGCAAGGATAATTCACTGAGGCTGATGTATACATTAAGTAGGACTTGTCCCTGCTAATCATTCTCATAGATGTTATGAGATTCCAACCTAACCCTAATTTAAGCGTTAACTCTGAATTTATTTTTTTGTGACATATTAGTACTGTTTTTTTTTTTTTTAGATGAATAACTAATGATTTATTTGTGAAAGATAAATTTGGGCTGCTGTAAAAGTACAATGTATGAGTGATCTTCAAAAGGATTTAGGTCTGCAAAAGAGTTAGTATGTCATTATAGTTTGGTTTTATTATTTGATATCTCTGCAACATTATTTGGAAGACCTCCTGGAAAGGATTGCAACATAACTTCACTCTAAAACTTTCAGCTGCTTTTAAGAAATCATAGTTTTACTATTCCAATACCTACACATTTTGCTGCAAAGATTGGCCAAAAAAAATAATCTGATTGTGTGTCTCTCTGTAGAGGTACCCCAGCGATCCTCACCTGACAAACTTGTCAAAGAGAGCAGCGCACTCAGGTGTTTCCGTCAAAACTAGAGCGCTGTTGTTGCGGTTCAGCAACAGCTCCTCAAACACGTCGCTCTGCAGAGAAAGGACCAGACTGTGGGCCTGAATCACCTTCACCTCATCTGTATTAACTGTTTGCACCCGGAGGCTAACATCGCTGCTGTTCCCTAGGGTCAGCAGGTTCTCCATACGATGCACCAAATGCATGGAGTGATTGAGAACTGTGGCACCGCTGTCCAATGCTGCTTCCTGCTTCACTGGAGCTATGCAAAGAAAAAGAAAAAAACAGTGGGGGTGGGTTTAGATTCAGACTATAAACATTACTCTGTATATGTAATTGGAGAGTTTGCTTGACTGAGGAAGATTGACATTTATTTTAAAGTTTACTTCAAACAGCAAAAATTTAGAAAAAAAGCATATTTTAACTCTTGAACTGAGCTCTAGCTGATAAATGTAAATGTATTACCAATATATAACCTGCTAGCGGAACTTCAGACTTGCACAACCTCTCTTCTCAACCTCCTAATTGATTAAAAACTGCACAGGAAACCTCAGATACCAGGTGCACACCAAAAGAGAAACCTGCATTTGCAGCTCCTTTGCAGATGGCTTATTATTCTATAGCCTCTCGTAAACACAAGGAGAAATATGGGCATCCTAGAGACTCCTACATGAAAGAGTCATTCAAGTACGGGTAGCCTTGTTGGCCTTCTATTGGGGATTTAATGAGACATCAGGGGAATATATTTATCTCCCCTCAGATTTTTCGACTCCCTACTATAATGAAGAACCCCCACTTCAAAGTCTCCTTTCTCTTTTTAAGAAAATGAGCCCAAAGTGGAATGTGGATGTGAACCATTAGATGTTACTGACTGCACGTCCCATTCAATCGTAACTAAAAGCATTGCGTTACACAGGGCAGTTCAACTGTTATGTAATAAACTATTTTTTACTTCTTTAGAAAAAAGGGAAAAATAACCTACAAAGCAGGTATACCCACACATGCAAACTTAATAACGAAGAATGCCCATTTGCTTCTTTCACCTAACCAGAAAAAAGGTATTTATATTTGGGTTATGTGTATAAATATTGTTAATAATCATAAAAACAATCTAGAGATGTCTAGCTCTACATGCAGCACTGTCAAAATTATTTCCCTAGAAAAGCAGGCATAGACTGTAAAGTAACTCTTTTCCTAATTTAACACCAGATGACAAATAAACTTGGCTTTATCTTTACATGCATACAGATGAGAACCGAATGAGCTGCCTAAATAATCATCCATCAAGACACAGTCTCATGCTGATTCCCCCTATCCAGTAACAGCATGGGGGAAGCAGGACTGAAATAGAACAATTCAGCTTTCTTTACAATGCAGAATATATTTTTGTAGAAGTGAAAGCAAGCCATCAAAATTTTTATTGTCTTACCTCCACTAACTGAGACTGAGTAGAAGTGAAAAAAGAAGAGCAGAGTGCCCACATAAACCCAGCTAGGAATCTTGTGTTCATATGAGCGCTCCATCTCTTCACAATTATTCACTGCTTCTCCTTTGTCTTTTCCCCTCTCCGCTCTTTGTTGGTGGCGCTCTCCTCCTGGCCGTATCTGCACAGAAAGGTGTTCTGCCTGGTGTGCTGCCCGGCTCCCTGTCCTGGACTCTTTATGTAGGACGCTGGCCTTTCCCCTGGCGCATCTCTCACAAACCCTCGGACTCCATTGATTGGTGGATTCGGGCAGGGGCGTTGCTATAGCGACAGCTTTGATTTTGAATCTCTCCTTTTTTGGATGTAACATGGCATTGATCAGTGGCACTAGGCCAGCCATGAACTCGGCTTAATGTCTTTTTAAAAGTGTGCTAGCATTTGGTCCTATTAGGGATCAATAAAAACACAGTTTGCTTTTGCAATGACACTGACATGCTGCAGATCTTCGGGCCTGCAGAACTTTGAAACAAAGCACCACCATTGCCTTAATTAGTCGGTTCATTTTCACAGAAGCCGCTAAGTCAATCAGCCAAGAGTAATTGAGCCTGTAATATGTGTGACCAACGGCAATCAGTGAAATTTAGCTATCCATCTCAAGCAGATTTCTTCAGCCCTTATTTATTGGACAGCTCATTAATCTTCCTAATATAAGGATAATTTATTATAGCTTGGTCTGATAATCCCCAGGCGCTGCACAGTGGCAGCACACTGCCTCCCAAGGAGATGGGTTAAATGCAGAGTACATTTCGTTGCTCTGTACTTGTTACAGTATAATGACAACAAAATGCTGGAAAAATTAATCTGAGGCAGGCTTTTCACCCAGAGCTTTGTCTATCATACAAGTGCCAGTCTCACTTGAATTAACTGATCCTGAAAAATCAAACGCTTCAGAGATATAGAAACCTGTTTTTCTGATGCATGTTTTATCAAAGGTCCAGTGTTCTAAAACAAGTCTGTGCATTACAGTACACTGACAAGGATTCAGAAAATACTTTTTTCCTCGTCATTTTTAGCATTACAGCTGTCAAGGTAATTTGAACAATTACAGTTTTGAGATTCCTTGGTGCCTCCTGCATGGAAAAAGAGTGTATTATGACTAGACCAAAGGAATGGCAGGTACAACTGTCTCTTTTACGAAATATTTTATTGCAAAAGTACCCCAGAGTTCCCCCATGATATTCTTTTAAAAACAAATTTGGAATACAAACTCAAAGCAGAACAGTTGTTGGTGGTTAAATTAATTTAAAGGATATATCTCACAATGTGACTCTTTTTAAGGTCACTAATATCAAACTCTTTTTTCTTTTTTTCTGCTTTTGGGTCTTGCAGACTGTACACCATCACTCCCTTAATCTGAGTCGTTTGCTTACCCCTATGCAGGTTAGCCATGGTGAGTCATTGCCTATCTTGCTTGAGAAATCAGGACTTTAAAGGTCAGATTGATTTCTATCCTTTCTAACTGACAGACCCTTGGAAAAGAGGGCTTATTTTTATTTACTATGTTTATGTTATATGAGGAAAATTTTTCCTATTTGAATTATCTAAGGTTTGATATAGGAAATGACTAACTACTCTGACATTTACTTCAATCAATTCGCTTATCTTCAAAAGGTCTGTCAACCACAACACCAGTTGTACCAATTTAAAATCAAACTCTGGGTACTTGTTGCATAATCATCATTGCAATATGTTCACTCAATGCAAAACACTGAGATTGATTAAGATATAAATTCATGTAGAGTTCTGGAAAAAAGCCTTGAAGGAATTTGACTTTTGGTGAAACATATCTCTCAGATCATGCATGAAAATATTTTGATATCAAATAAAGTTGATCAGATTAAATATAAAATGTGTTTTTGTAAGTCTTTTTTTTTTGTTACATATTGGCATATTAATATTAGTCAGTCATATTAATTTAGTCAGAGAATAAATTATTTTGAAATAAGAATTACCCCCTAAACCTTTTCTAACCTGGGTTACAACAGCTTTCAAGTGTTTGAGATAACCAACAAAGTGTCTTTTAAATTGCAGTAAAGGAGTCTTGCATCAGACTTATTTTGAAAATGGTTTTAGTTCAGCCATTTATCTTATGAATTTTTCTTATTTCAGTCTGTGTAAAGTCATACTAAAAATAATTCCCTATTCCATTATTATTTTCTATTAAATAATGAACTTAAAACAACATATGTTTAGGACTCTCTTCTCTGAGGTCTATTGTAAAGACCTCTTCTCTTTATATTTTGATAGATCTAAGTACTTAGATTCACAACACATGGTTTGACATTTCAAAGTTACAGATGCTTTTCTCCTGGACAGTGTCACAGCTAAACAGGCCACATGTATCTAACATTAAGAGAAACTACACAGATAATTTAATTTTGAATAATAGCAGATGATGCAAAATCTGAGAAGAATGTGGTAGAACGAAGGAAAGTGGTCATTTTGTCCTGCAGCAGCCTAAACCCATAGCAGCAGAATAACATCTCTGGATAACCTAAGGCACCCTAATTATTAGCTTTATCAAAAAGTTAAGTTTTAAGCAATATCTAAGTAGTAGACAGGGTGTGTGGCTTGTGATCTAAAGCTGAAAGTTGGTTCCATAAGAAAGGAGCATGAAAACTAAAAGATCTGCCTCCAATTTTACTTATAGAGATTCTATGAGCCTGCAGTAAACTTACAGTCTGAGAGTAAAGTGCACAGTTAGGAACATATAAAACAGTAAAATCTGTTGTATTTTTGATTTTGTTAAGGAGAGATTTAAATTCTATTCTTGTGATCGACAAAACAGTTTATTTTGCAGTGACTCTGATCCAAATTTGACAGTTTCTGTCTAGTCTGCCTTTAAACACAGAACATTTAAAGCCATCCAGGTTTGTTAGCGCAGCAGATCTGCCTGTTGTCAACTCAGTTGGTTTTATTTATTGCTTTCCATTGGGAAAATATAGGTAACGTTTATCAGCGGTCAAATTATTACTCCTACTTGTTTAGCATTTTTATAAATATCAAAATGGTTCATTCAGCAGTAACTTTTAATATGTAATTGTTGGGGAGGAGAAAAACAGAATAAATATCACTAGACAGGAAATCTATGCTCTATCGATTCCTTTATGAAAAAGCCGCTAAGTGACATTGTGTTCAAAATAGTTCAATCTACTTTGAGAAAGACAGAAAGTGGCATTGTTTTTCGGGTGATTTGGGTTGTGTTGACGCCCCGGGGGCTGCCAGGCTGAAAATACAGAGCTGTCCTATGAGACTCCAACCTGAGCCACTGCTATGAATAACTGGCTGTGTTCTGAAAGCAGAGTATGTATGCAGCTGCTTATATGCCCGAATGAATCCTGCAGCAATAAACTAGACAGACCAACAATGAAAAGCCCCAAATCACATCTAGTTTCATGCAGCTATCTTATTTTAGACAATGGATGCAATGCAGTCTTTATTTATTTGAAAATGGAATGCCCTTCACTGAGGTGACTTGTTTATTTATTTATACTTTTTTTTTTTTGATGGAACATTATGGTAGGAATAGGACTAACAGGATCACGATGATAAAAAAAAAGGATTGATTGACAAGCTGCTGAATGGTTTGAGCGCACCCCTCAGGATGAGATCCATTGAGAGAGATCAATGCCCCCCAGGAGGCCTCATCGTGCAGTATACACATGTTAAGTACAGGACAAATGCCAGAGTAAAGGGGTTGGGAATGACCTCACGTTTGTGCTGAAGCCCGAGGGAATGCACTCGTTGACTTCATATCCAGAACATACTTGACATATGACTGAACCGGTTCAACGAATGCGTAGAATAGCTTTGTGCTTTTAGGTATGCATTGCACAGAAGCAAAACAACAAAGTATGCAGAAAAGTGGTCTCCTATTTTGTCATACAGTAAAAATATATTTACTTAATTTAATTTGTTCTCCACATTTTGGTTCCAGATGCCAATTATGGCAACAAATTCCATTTAGTTTTCTTTTCTCTTTTAGTTTACTTAAAGAGTTATGTGTTTATTTGTCACTGTACAGGATTCATAGATATACAGTTTGACAAAATGTCTTTAGCTCCATAATTTCAATTAGATGTACTTAAATTATGTTGTTTATTGAACTGTCTGTGTTAATATTAGTGTAAATAAAATGTGCAGGAGTCCATTAATTGATCTGGGGTGCAGCCATGTGTGTTTGTGTGTCTGTCTATCTTTTTTTTTAGTCTCCTAGAGAAATGAAAACAGGTTTTGGAGACTTTAAAAGCAAAGCAATTGATCAAAACTGATCATCAGAAAAATATTGGTCTGAAAAAACATTCAAATTAAACATGGGTGCTTGGGTGGTCTATTTTAAAAGCTGAAAAGATTTCATTTGTCACACATTAAAACTGTTGTGCAGGTCGTAAAGATTGTTAGGGGTATGTTGAAGAAGATAGGAAATAAAGAGAAAGTTGTTTGTTAATACCAATTAAAACATTATTGCAATACTCAACTGAAATTAATCAGGCATCAAACCAACAGAGAAACATCATGTGCAGCCTTAACTTAAAGCACCCCAAAAAATAATCCTTAAAGCCCATAATGAAATAAAGCATTAGTTTGACCCCAGAAGTGTTTTTTTTCTCTATGAATATAGTTATTATCATTATTAATACAACAATAATATTAAAATCCGGATGTATGAATGGACTCTAAGGCTGAGGCAAAGGATGAATAATGAATGAATATTTATCTTTAAAAATGTATTTAGAAAAAATCTTTCCCTGTTTAAACTTTGTTTGATTGCTTTTCATTCATGTTGCCATATTCCTATATGTCAGAATGCAGAGCAGTCAAACGTCTGATATAAAAATGCATTCACTTGACTAGAGCATACCTGAGGCGGGTGGTTCTTGTAAATTGTAAATAATAATCCATTCACTCATTCTTTATCATAATCTACTATGTATAATTTTGTCCCCTTTTTCATCTAGTGTGGAATGAATTGATGGAGATTGTAGTGTAGGTGGAGCCGATGCAGCCCTTGTAATTTTGTCTACCTGATAATCATTCTTCTGAAATGTGGCAGAGGGATATATATATATATATATATATATATATATATATATATATATATATATATATATATATATACAGTGTATAGCTGGTCCTTGAAAATCAAATCTGACCATTCCAGCCTGCACTGGTCCTCTTAAAAAAATCACTTGTATGTAATGTTTTGGTTGTTTCCAGCCAGAAATGAATACAGTGTTCTTTGATATAGGTATCTGATGTTTGCATTCACTGTTTCAGATAATATTTACATAATAACTTTCCCATAACCCCACACCCCAGTACTGTTGCACTTGGCTTTGTCCTTTCACATCACATCTGTCAGGACATGTGTGTCATCAAAGCAGGCAGCAGGAAAAACAGATAAAAGGCTGAGATTCTCCAGGTTTGCCAAATTGCATACTCACTGCATATGGCTGGAAAACTGTTGAGAACTTTAATTGGAAATTCGCCATAAATAAGCTCTGGATTGTGGTGCATAAGCTTTCAGTACCTTAAACTCAAACCTCTCACATGTTATATTTAAACCTATTTCACTAAGAAAGATTATTATAAGCTGAAATGTGTATTTAAAGATATGTAGATGGCTATGAGCTATTTTTTATCTTTGGATTCAAAGAAACATCTAATGCACGGATCTGCAACCTTAACAATCTAAAGAGGCATTTTACCATTAAAATAAAACAAATCTAGTGCTGCAGTTATTACGTGACTTTTTTGAAAATGGAAATTCATGGTTATTGCTAAATATGGACTACAGGAAATAAATATTCTTTTATTTCTCTTTTAATAGTTATGCAAGTTTAACTCCTCCTGGTCATTGATGGTGACTCATGATTGCTCACTCTGTACTAGTTCTGTACTAGTTGTCTACTGCTTGCCAGGTACGCTAATGTTAATGCTAAACAAAACCTTTGCTGCATTATGACGGAACCAACACTGGAAATCTTGGAAAAAAATTTCACCCTCCTTTTTTCTGCTTTTTGATTTTTTTTTTTAGCTTGAACTGGAAAAATGGAAGCCATTTCTCAGCTGCATTACGTAGTTACTAGGATTAGTAACACCTGACCTATGTTTCCCATGACTTCAATCTGTTATGGTGCAGAACCCTCTTGTATCCACATTGATATCATAACCAGAAGTCAAATTTTATATATTTTAGACTCTTTAAAATCTTCTTTAGTTAGATGCTATGTTTGGACAGTTATATAAAACACTATTTTTTTTTTCCTAATGATGAAAATAAAATCTTAAACCCATTAAGGTAGCCTGCATTTACGGCCAATGTTACTGAAAATATTATACAACTATGCCATGAGAAAAACCTTCTGAAACCTGCACTTATTATATCACCTACTTTATATAAAACTATTACCTGGATTACACATTTCTGGCAAAAGTTATTGAAAGCCATTGTGAAAGGTCCAAAGAGCCAATTGCAGCTTTGAAGCCACAGGTTGCAGACCCCTGATCTCATGAGTGAGTTAAATAATTTTCTTGTGCTGCAGACAGAAAACTCATAAATAAAAGTTAAAACAATTCTATTTATTACTATAAGAAACCCATTTGTATGACTAAAATTAGGAAAGTGTGTGATGGTGGCTTGGATTAATTATGATTTGCCAACTATTATATGTATTATATAATATATAAATATTAGCAATGGGATGATATACTGTTTTTTAAAGTCAGCAGCATCGTTAGTTGATTTCAAGCAAAACTAGACCTATTTATATTATGCACCACTAGGTGGCTCTGGCCTTTTAAACTTCATCTACTTAGTGAATGTGACTCATACAGTATATCCTTTATTTTGATTTTATCAACTTTATTGATCTCACATTGGAGAAATTTACCTCTGCATTTAACCCATCCCCATGTGGAGCAGTGGACTGCCATCATGTGGCACCATGAAGGGAAACAAATATGCTTAGCTTCATTTAAACTAAGCTTTGAGTACATACAAGCAGCATGAATGTATATTTTCATTAATCATTTTTACAGCAGTATTTTAACAGCAAATGCCAGACCTATGAAAATCATCAGCTGTCTGGGTGTGAAACAGGTCACCATTTTAAATTAGCCCTACAGGCTTTAAACATGAAGTGAGAGGTGAGTGGTCCCATTGTTTCGATATAAGCGGCCTCAAACAAATAAGTAGGCTGGGTGCTAATCTCACAGAATATGCAAAGCTGCAGACACCATAGAGGTTGGATAAAGGCGTGGAGTGGTTGGTCATTTGGAAAAGTATTGCACTCACTGAATGCAACCTAATTGGAGCCACTGCTTTAATGGGACTAAAGGATAATCGATTATGATATGGATGACTGACTGAGGAGTGGCGGATTGATTGGTGGATGGAGTACAGTAGGAGGCCAAATAAATGAACACCTTGCGTTGCAGGAAGAGGTCAAACGTTATATCTAGCTTCTACGGAAACTGTGAAGGAAAACAATCCTGAAAGACACAAATTTCTCTTTTGAATTCTTGTGACAAGTTGAAGAGAGGACAAGCTGTTCTTATCCTTGTGAGTACATAACTCTTTTGATGTCATGGTTTTATTCAGATGCCACAATTTCATCAATGGAAAAATATTTTCCTTATTTTAATGTAAAACTAAAGAAAGTTTTGATGATAAAGTGTATAAAAACAGCAGACTTTAACTAGGCTATGCTTAATTTCTGCAAACAGTAATAAGCTTTTTTTTTCTAAACACGATTGCTGATAAAATTAGATAATCAGGTTTAGCAAAAATCCTGCTGCAAGTTGATACAGAATGAACACATACTGGTGAGATTATACATGGGAATCAATTACCACTGCTTAAATGTCGTATAGTGTTTTATTTGCATTCAGTTAAAGATGCTCACGAATTCAATATTGATTTTTATTTAAAAAAAAATCAATATTTCCCTTCAATGCAAAAAGCATTGAAGGGAAAAGGTAATCCGCAGCCTATTGGTTGCCAGAGAGCGATGACAATTTATGTATCGAACATCAAACTTGTACATCAATGCATGGCATTATGTCAACAAAGATAGCGAAGAAAATTCTCCAACACCAATTTAAAATTAAAAAGTAAAGATTTTTATGTAGTAAGGAGGACAAAGCCAGAGAGATGTCTTAGAGGGGTAACAAATTTCACCCGATAGAGGGGTTTTAAAAGACATACTGTAACCAGAACAATCAGCTGTTATTACTTTAACATAATGATAAATTACAGGTTTTTGACAAGAACAGTCATTGGAAGCAGTTTTTCAGACTGACTTTCTAATTACTGGTCACTTCTGACCAACACTGATCCATTGATGTTCACATAAATGACCACATTATTTCCACCAACTGCCACTAAAATAATCTACTCTGTGTAAACAATCCACCCAGCAGTTGTTGAAGGCTCACCTTTCTCAACACTCAGACAATCAGTGACTGCATATACTTGGAAGCAAAGGTTGGTAGTAACTGGTTACATTTACTTAGCTTTATTTACTTTATTATTAACTATAGTATAAAGTACTTTTTAGAGTAATTTCAATATACCATACTATATACTTATGTAGTAACATGAAGTATCGCTACTCTTATTTGAGTAATATCTATGGCTATTCTACCCAGTATGAGCAACGTCCCTAAAAAAATAAATGAATAACAATGGATGAAACACCTTTTAAACTAAAAGGAACCAGGCATAGGAAGACTGTTTAAGTGGTGCTTAAAAGACTTTTCTCAATTTACAATTTTTGTTATTTTAATCCTACTTTTATCTGCTGAGACATCTATGGCAATGAGGTCAAGGTAATAGGAAAGAAAAGGTATCTATCCTTTCACTTGAAATACTTTAGCTTGTTCTGTAATGCATATTTTACATAGTTTAACAAATAGATTTATGTTAAATGTGAGGGAAAAAAGGATTTTGAGAAGTGTTTCTTCTGTCTGAAGTTTTTGTTTCCTGCATTTTATTATTTGTATTCATTACTATCTTTCAGTTTTTCAAACAAAATGAAATTGGACCTAACTTTACATTATGGTCTGTCTGATTTACGTAATTAACTTTTAGTCATTTTTTATTTTTACTTGAATAGAAATATGTTAAAGTACTGTTGTAGTCCTACTTTTGGTTGAGTGCATTTTGTTTCTAGCTTCACTTCCAAAAAAATACTGCTAATTATCACATCTAAAGATCATTTACAGAGATCTGTGCACATTAAAACAGTGTTTGATAAGTAAAAAAAAACTTTATTCAGGCAATTACTCCTGTTTGAGCCATCTGTCCAAGTCGTGGTGTTCCACATTTTCTTTCCTCTTCCTTAGGTTTAGATTAGTCCATCCCCTGACCCCTAAGCTTGCATTTTCTTTGTATTTGATATCAATGTACGGCAGGTCAATCTGGCTCTTTATCTGTTTTCTACTGCTCAGCTATGTTTCCCAAGAGATCATTTTTATTGTAAAACTGCTCATTTGATCTTTTCTTGTTCTCAGTAAGCATCCATACAGCTGTTGGGCACATTCTCATGTCTTAAGTCTATCAAAAGATCGTTAGAAACTGTGGATAGATGGAAGTCTTCATTAATATATGGAACATGTTTCTTATTTTTGAAAGGCTTTTTGTCAAAAAGTTCTTTTAAATGTTTTTGTTTGCCTTGAAAGACATTAAATTGATAGAGATTAATCTATTTGTATTTCATAATTTCAATCTTCATACATTTTTTTCCTTATAAAATGTAAAATTTGCCCCTTATATCGTTTCTGCTGCAATATGTATTTCTTGTTTTCATCTTATAAATGAATGAATAACATTATAAATGACACCTAATTGTAAGACATAATTGTGTATGAGCAGTAATGTAACAACCTTAACTCAACGTATTTTAAAAAACCACAGCATTTGTTGTTAAGTTTAAAAGGTAAAGGTTATAACATTTTATATTGGTAACGTAAATCTATATGTTGCAGTGCTTCATTAAAAAAAGTCTGAAGAAATGGGTTCAACGAGCGCTCCAAGAGGGTGTGGCTCCAACATCAGCTCCATATACTACAACCTTTGTGACCTGACGGTGCTGTGGGGTGTCGTGGTTGAAGCCGTAGCAGCTGCTGGTGTGGTGACCTCCTTCATTCTGTTTATCATTCTCATGGCCTCGTTACCATTTGTGACGGACAAGAAGAGGAAGGGTATGGTGGCTCTACAGGCCAGCATTTTGGTCTTCACATTGGGACTTTTTGGCCTCACCTTTGCCTTTATTGTGGGGCAGCACTCTACAAGCTGTGCTGCTCGTAGGTTTTTATTTGGAGTACTGTTCTCAGGTTGCCTAGCCTGCTTGGTGATGCACGGGTTGTGGCTTGCCCTGCTGAAACAAAGTGGTCGTGGGCCAAGAAGCTGGTTGTTATGGGTGGGAGCTCTGGGTCTCTGGCTTGTTGAAGTGATCATCAACATTGAATGGCTTGTCCTCACTATGGTCTGGAGCCCACCTGGTAAAATAGATCTCCCTGACCTCTCCTGCAGCATTGCCAACAAGGACTTTGTATTGGGCCTCATTTATGTAATGGTTCTTATGGTTGGTGTAGTGCTTCTTGCTTCTCCCTCTCTATCACACAAACACAAGCAGTGGCGCCGAGATGGTGCTTTCATCTTGGTTACAGGACTCTGCACTATAGCAATCTGGGTATCCTGGATTACCATGTACATCTATGGAAACAGAGTGGCTGGTAATCCCAGCTGGGATGATCCAACGTTGGCTGTAACTGTCGCCTCAAATGCTTGGGTCTTCCTCTTCTTCTACATAATTCCAGAAATATGCCTACTAACACAAGGAGACCCAGACCTGGAAGAACCCAACGATGGAGAGCATATTTATCCTGCAAGGAGCCTCGCATACGATACCATCCTCAAGGAGCTAGAGGCAGCGCCCCAGAACCTGTATATAGAGAATAAAGCTTTCAATATGGACGAATCACCAGCAGGTAGGGCATACATCACATTGGCATATATGTAAAGCTTTGGTGTCATGCAAACATTAAGCTTGCCCGCCTATATACAAAATATGTACTTTATAAAGAATAAAGTGTTCATTGTTGATAAATCTCCAGCTGGTACAGGCAGCATACAGTAGTTTAATTTAACTTATGTTAACTTTAATCCAATGGTTGATTTCACAGATGAAATAGCAGAGCTGATATATCAAAAAACATACCAAGATTTGCATCAGTTGTGCAACAACACCAAAAAAATCTGTATAGAAATGTATGTTCTTGGTTGGATTCTAGCTACAATCGTTTTGCAATTCATCATGTTCAGTAAATACATTTCTAATTAATGTAACCTTTAATGTCCGGATATTAGACAACAAATTTAGCGTATTAACTTTCATCTTTGGTTTTATCATTTTACAGTCCCTCAAAGTCGTAATTTGAAGCTGGATTAGCCATACAAACCTCTAAACAATATTAAGGAATGCTTCAATTTGCATTAGAGGTGGATATTGCAGATCCAGAAAGAAAACAAAAATTTGGAGTTGCTAGGAAAGGGACAGTGTCTGTGGTTGGTGACTGAATGATTGGGAGTTTTTCAAAGCAGCTTGTTTTCCATACACCAATAACTCCTTTACTTAACAAAAATAATCTAAATGGCTTTTTTAACAGGAGGACTTTTTCTAGAAGCAGTAGAAACCCAAAATAAAGTATACAAATGTGCAAAATGAATTCAGCATAAAACATCCCCTTAAGTAGAAAAATCTATAAAGAAAAAAAAGTAGGAGGGTAGATGGGTGCAGGTTTTGAATGGCAAAGAAAGCATCTGGATAACCAGCACTATGAGGTTCTTCATCAAAATCGGACATTAAATATATAGATAAGGATATATGGATGAGCCGATTTTACTGTTGAATAATACACAAATGACAACAGCAGGTCTCTCTGAATGACTACAGAAAAAATAAAATAAAAGAACCTTTAGTGTCAGAGCAAACTGCTAGGAGACATTTTGGAGTCACAAATTCTCCATAAGATAGATGCCAACAAAATGCTTATTGGAAGGTTTGCCTAAATCTACTGGTAGAATATGCCAGGCAGACTGAGCTAGTTGCCAAAAGAAACCTCACATTTAGAGTGGAAAAAAAACATTCATGTATATATTGATAGGGTTTGATTTTAGGCTGTGTCACAGATCAGCTTTATGACCTGACTTATATTATGTGCTCTAAATATATAACCATTCTTTTACAAGACCCCCCTAGGCCAGTGTCTCCGTATGGCATCTACAATGGCCAGCCTCGAAGCTGTGTGTACCAGCCAACAGAAATAGCCCTTATAACCAAAGGTCTAACAATGGTAAGATGTTTATTAACCTCCTTAATTTCTCAGTCGCATTCAAAGCAGTGACTTTACCTTTCCTTTTCACAGATGAACCAAGGCCTGATGATACCTCGGGCCAGAGTCTCGTCTTTGAACCCAGGGAGCGGGAGGAGCTCCTTGTCTCACTCAGTCGAGTCTTTGGCTTCCCAGGGACTTTCATAGATTTTGTGCTTTCTTTGTTTCTCTTCTGAAGATGCTTTAACATTCTAACAAGACAGATCATGAATAGATCCTGTTATAGGGTTTCTCATCAACGTACCATAGTATTGCTTTCTGTGCACCAGTATAATCTTGTGGCACTTACAGTGAAGAATGTCCATTTATTGCTGGATGAAACAAATATTTACATAGGAAAATACAGTCCCTTTTGAAGCCTAATATATTCCATCCGCTGTGAACTGTATTAGAAAATGTAGAATGTAACCTCTAGCCTCACTTACAGTGGATTTTACCTACTGTGCTACGAATTCAACTCTTTCCCGCTGTGCCTTACTTTCAAATCAAAACTTTCAAGCAAAACAAAGACTTTAATGCTTTTAGATCAAGCTCTAATATGTATGTACTGTAAAAATGTTGGATATTAGTTTAAAAAAATGATAAAAATTAAAATCATAAGCAAAAAGTAATGCTTTTAGTCTTGAGCTTATATAGAACTTTAGACAACTTTCAGTGTAACAAAAAAGACCATTAGATAATCTTTTTATTTTTATTTATTTAGCTATACAGTTAAACATTGCAAAGTCATGCTCAGATGATAAGACGCAAGAAAGATGGTAAAACTTATAGAGCTTATAGTGCCTCCCTTAAATATATGATTCGCCTATTCATTTTTATGATAAATTACCCCAAAACACCAAAACATTACTAAAGGATCAGCATGTTAGGATATTATTCAAATACTTCACAATAAAAATAAGCACAAAAAAAAATAGAAAGCGTTGAATAAATTATAATAGAAACAACATTGTGTGATACTAGGGGATGATCTTTCTGTTTGGTTACTGCACTGAATGCAGAATACATTTACATGTCCTGATAAGTTTTATCTGTGGCTACAGCTGCTGTCCCACTTTGTTGTTGACCTACAATGCTTAGAGAGGTGTGTCAACCCTACTAAAACATTTAAACTCGTACTAGAATAATAAGTGCATTCTTTTACTGAGTTAGAGCTGTATGCAGTGATAAGTACGAACTACATGTAGATGCATATAATTATACTTGGTCTAGATTTTTTAATTAAAATAAGTTATAAAATCACCACTCTTTAAAGCTGCTTGACTCTGAATGACTCGGGCACCTTTTCTGCACCGGCAAGGAAAATGATCTACATCTGATTAGTCCACCTACACACCCACTTTTCATAATTCAGATCTTCAGGAAGCTGCGGCTGCCTAGCAGCAGGCTGAATCAGCTGAATGTCTCCCAATTATCCACACCCTCTCCTTTTGCCTGTAGTCATGAGCACTTGCTCGGAAACGAGATGGGTGGCAAACTAGGAGTCCCTCACTGTGGATTTGTACAAAACATCCCAGCAAATATTAAGAAGCTTGCTTCCCCCTGCATACGGAGATTGACTATCAAAGGAAACACTGATTTGATGAAAGCTTGGAAATGGATAGAGGTTTTTAAGATATTTTGTAAAGGTATCATTTGTAATAGTTATATTTAGGGATGGGCTAATTACTGGTAATGAGGTATAGCAGGCTTTTAAGGATACCTTTTCCATCACAGTGTTCCTTTAAAGTCATTTTCATATGATACCAGAGAAAGAACTGGAAAGACCGCCTCCCACCTGTTGCTAAAGAAGATTGTGGCATTTTGAGTTATTTACCCATCAGCTTATATTTAGCACTGATGCTTAGATCCCTTATCTGCAAAAAGTACCTTCAAGAATAGCAATGTTCCTTTCCATTATTCAATAAAAAACAGTCCCTTGTGCATTTTGTTCCACAACGGCCTCGAATATCAACTGTTAAAAGTGTGTATGACATGAAAAAGGGAGCCTTCTTCTTTCAAAACAATCTGATCGTAAAAGCAAAATGGGGAAAATGTGTGTTCAGATTCACAAAAAGGCTTTCACACATTTGTTAAGCCCTTTATGTTATCTGAAAACATCTGTTTGGGTTTATTAATGAATGCCCTTAGTGTTCTCCAAAATATTAGACTTTAGCTGGGAGTTCCTGGGTTTTTTTTTAACCTGGTGAGTGACGCAGATTGATGCCCTAAACTACGCAGGCAGCAACTATAAACTCCCCGATAGCAAAAGCGACAACACACAGCAGAGGTGCGTGCACCTGTCTTGCATTTCCTGATTACTGTGACAACAGTCAAAAGAATAGTCATAAAAAAAGTGTTAACATAGGGAAGTTAAGACCTGCTGCATAACATAGTAACACTGTTAGTGTTGTCTAAAAAGCATGAAACAAATATTTGCTTTTTTAGTCCAGGATGTGTTAAATGTTTAAGCTCTAAAACAATGCTTCTATATTTGTGCAGATGCCAATATCTAAACAAAGGTCTTTTTCATGCTGGGAAGTCTTTAAAGGATTACAAAATTAAACACCGGCACCAGCCTGGCAGGAGCCCCAATTTTCTTAAGGAAAGGAAAGTTTGTTTATTTGGCACATATCTTTAGCATAAAATGAAACATAACAAGAAAACACCCATAGAAAAAGACATTGCAGTGGAATAAAGTTTTTAAAAATGAATTAAACCCTGACAAAGACATTGAAATTGCCAATGGTCTTATTGTTGGAATGGAAGGTTTGAGATAGGCTTATAGTTCTGCAGGAGCAGCTTGTCCAAGTTGCTCTTTTCTATAGTGCTTTAATGATTGCTGTTTTTCCCTGACAAAAGGGAAATGTTTATTAATTGAGTAAATCTGATTTTATGATAGGAATAGCTTTCTTTAAGGAAGCTCTGTGTAAAACATCGGGAAGAAGGACGGAGTCAGTGTAAGATTTGTTTTTTTAAGTTTATTTGGTGAAATTTGGAAATTTATGCAAAAATTTTTCTAGTTGAAAACTTTTTTGATCCTGGATGTTATGGATTTAATGATTGCCTTGTTTTTTTTCAGTGTGAAAAATCAGAAATTTTTGGAGGCCCTGAAAGAGTTAAGTTCAGATGCTATAATGACAGGAGGGTTTATTAACTTGTAAACCTTCGCATATAAAGCATGAGCATTATTAATGTAATTTATTGAAATACTGCTTGTTTTGATAAAACCTCATATTTTTTTTTTTTTTTACTAATTCAGTTTTTTCATTATCAAGAAAAGAACCCCACATGGTCTTCAGAGTTGGGGCAAAATACCTGAACTTAAAAAAGCTGAACTGAAAGTAATTGACTCTGTGCAATCAGCCTGGTTTCCTTTGATAGAAAACTGATGGTTTGATTGAATTGTATCTAAAAAGTGTTTTGAGATGACATGTCATGTGAATCTGTCCTATACTGCATATATATAAGCTTGAGTGGAATTAAGCAGCATTCCTATAGCAATCAGCCAGGATGTAGTTTGTAAATTTCATGATTTATCAAAAGACATTTGTTTTTAGCATTTTAAAAATTAAAATCTTGGAAAAATGAATGCAATAACTTGGAGAGACATTGTGTAGGCATTACACAAATTTTTTAAGGATGGTCTCCCAGGTTTATTAATATAACTTTGTTTAGTGATCTATTTTTGCCCCTTTTGGCTTTTCAAATAGCTAAGTCCTGCAAACATTTGATGGGAAGTGTCTGCAAACAAAAGGCTTAATTTAGGGGCGTCCTTATCAAAGCGCATGCTGCAATACATTTTATATAGCCAAAACAGGATTTACATAAATGAGACTAATGTTAAAAATATCGTTCTATCACCTTAGAGATTAGCTTTGGGGAGTGCTCAGCAAATAGTTGTTCTGTCAACACCTCGGTTTAGGGGCGGTTCTAGCCAATCATTGGCCATCCCTAACAGCTGATTTGTTTTTCTCCCAGGGATTTAATTTGATACCCCCGGAACAAGCAGTTCTCCTCTAAGCCTGATGGTGGCAGCATTGATGTTATCATGTGGAATTTCCTACTTTGACATCATTCATAATAATATGCTATAAATAAAGATGACTAATACAGAATATTTGCTTTTAAGCCTTATAGTGGAGAGTGTCTCTGTAGTCACCTATGACTCTTCTCTAAAGAAAGAGTTCAATCCATTTAATGTATTTATTATGTAGAACCATAGATTCATGTAAATGGCACCAATGTATAAATATGTGCATAGCTTTATTAGGAAGGCCCCAAATGAAAATCTGGTCTGTCTTTGGTGATTCGGGAAATCTAAATGTTGTGTGTTCATTCTCCCATTGGCTTATTTTAATCAATATAGATTGACCTAATTATTGTTTTTGCTATGTATCATTTTTCAGCCATCCATCAGTGTGCATTGGCCTTCCTGACCCCCTGTAAAATTTTTCTGGAACCACCAATAATCAGGCAACATGCTGATATAGCAACCTGTGGAAATCCTTTAGCCACTCCAGAAAAAAAAAAAATCTTAGAACCGCCACTGCCTGGGATGTGGATCTGTTCAGCTGTTCCATACAGTGGCTGCTGCCTCTCGTAAAGCTCTCCCCAAGTTTAGGCCGAGTGTCTATTGGTTCTGCCATAAGATTATTTCTTTCCTGCTTAGGTGATTACTACAGGAAAGTGATTGCACAAGAGCTCTCTAAATGTATCAGAAAATGCAGATCACACTTTTGAGACTTTTAATTGTAAGAAACTATTTTAAACAATTTCCCTCCAACTCTTTATAGTCAGCACCACTTTGCTTTTATTTCATATAAAACCAAATGTGAAACCTTCAAGCCTATGAACCCTTTTGAAATGCATTGTAAGCACTTTTTGATTCTAATAAAAAAAAAAAGAAAATGAACAGAAATTTTAAATTCATGCTTGTGGATGTTAGTGACTTTTTATTTTAGGGTACGCCTGCAAGAAACGGTTTCATTGCACACATTTTCCGTTTAAAACAATAAAAAAAAAACATTAGCCAACAAGATTTTTCATTTTTCATCCTCAGAACCAAAATAAAATAAAAAAAGACCCTTCTACTGTTAAAAATGAATTTATTACATGATGCCAACCGGATTTATCAAAAGGTGGATGTTTTGCATTTTAGGGTAATCTCACACAAACACTAATAGGCACTGTAAATGCAAATATGCATTTATGAAAAAACAAACATTCAACACAAATATCCCTTTGATAAATCAGCATAGGACACCTGTGATGTTTTCCATCTATTATACAGCCTCTCCTCTATATGAGTGACCTACTACCATTTAGCTCCTGTTTATGGAAATAGCAGATGAATGCTGTTATTTTACGTGGTGTAAAGTTTTAAATCAAACCTGATTTCTTTAAAAGGTGCAGGAGATCTTTGTATCAGATACAGCATATCAAGGCGTGTTGTATTCCATAACAGAAGCTGGGACTGAGTAAATACACTGATTTAAGTGGCATATCATTCAAGGTTTAAGAGTTTTCCCAGACGGGCATTTCTTGTCTGGTGTTCCTGTTGTTTCTGCTTCTTCAGCAGGCGATACGCCTCCACTGCTCGCTGCCTCTCTTCCTCCATCAGTCTCTGTCTAGCCATTGAGGGCTTTGTTGTAGAGGTTACAGTGTGGCCGAGCAGAGAGTTGAGAAGCAGCTCTTTTGACGCCTTCTTTATAACAGAGGTAGAGAGAAAGGAAGTGAGTTAACTAAAAGGAACTAAAAGCTCCAGCCTGTGTTTAATCTGATGGACGAGTACCTGAGTTTTAACCGGAGCCTTCTTTGGTTTCGTGCTTAGTGATGGCGGGGCCATGGAAACTTCACCAAATGGAACATAATCTAGAAAACCAAACATATTTTAGTGTGTAAAGTTGTACAGGATTTGCATATCAGAAAATGTTTTTTTTTCTAATTCTCAGACTTAGTTTTGAAAACTAAAATCTCATGAAATGTTTGACAGCATCCAGGTTTTTTTCTTTCTTTCTTTTTTGTTCAAAATCAGGTCTGCCACTGAGGATAATCATTTATTTTAGCTTGATTAATTCATCAACACACTTTCAATGAATTTGCTATTTAGAACAACTTGAACTTGAGAAACAAAAATTGCATAGTTTACAAAAAAAATTACGTTTTTGCAAAATAATGACACCTAAGCAAAGCTTTAATCTTTGAAATATAAAACAAATATATAAAGTAACACCTCTAGCATGGCAGAAGCAGACCGAATGAAGCCTTTAATGTTTAATTATTTAAAAAGCCTGACTATACAGGATACTAAACATAATGAGACTGAGCAAAAAATAATCGCACCATGTCTCAGTTCAGCTTTTAGTGCATTTCATAAAAGACCAAAAATATAAACCCTTTATATAAAATATCATAAAAGACTAAAATGACTTGTGTGTATTACTTGTGTGTATTATCAGTTTCTTTGATTTAATTTTGATTGATCATCTATAATATAAAACTGGATCAGAATATGCTGAAATTTATTGTTACCTGTAGAAGTTTGCATATTATCACACATACAGGTCCAATATCAAGCAACGGTGACCTTAAATGTTTATAAACACTATGCATGTAGAAATGTAGAATACAGTAAAAATGTCCAACTTGATAGATTACATTCAGCAGTCTTTTTTTTACTAGGGATGCTCAGAAATGAAAATTCTTGGCTGAAAACGAAAAATTAGAGAACCAAACCCGAAAACGAAAGATGTTAAATATATGAAACAGCACATTTTTTTCCACTAAGATGTGTAATAGCTATTAAAAAAACTCATATTATTGCTAAATCCAAACATTTCAATACATTTAGAAATTATTACCAAAATATTCATTTACAACTGACATTTTTTTTGCTAAGCCCTTTAGATTAGTGGAATCATTGGGAAACGTTCTTGCGTTTTTCAAACATGTCCGCTGCAGGCGGAGTGGCCATGTTTGGTGTTGGTTTGCACTCTTCTTGAACATGGATTTCTATGGCATTTTGTGCCACTGACCTAAGTGCGCAGGGAGACTGATATGTAGCATTCAAACTCGCTCCCGCCTCTGCTGCACACTCAGCCTTTGCTCTCTTCCTCCAGTGCTATACTTCATTCGACAACTTTCCCATGTGCTGGATGTGCAGTTTGTTGCATCATCACAAGTTTCAGCCGCATTGTTTTGGTGTTAAATGTCCACCGGCAACCAAATTTTCACTGCATGCCTATTTTCCCTTTCTGATCATCAGAAGCGCATGGATGTCCACTATTCAAAAGGTTGATGTGTAACATACTTGTTTTGAAATAAGACAGGAACTTTACATATCATTCAAACCATATTTAAATACACGAACAAGCAAACATGTTAACATTACAGAAAACAAAAATCAGAAAACTCCCCTGATTCAGTGCTATTTACAGAAAAAGCTGTAACTTTTCACACAGGTTTAGGAATAATAAAATTAAACATTATTAAATGTAGGAATCAACTAGCATTATAGATGTTAATGTAATGGTAATTGGGCTGGGGGAAATAAAAACAAATGTTTTTGGTGGCACCAAGTTGCCTTAGAAATGGGAAAGATCCATTGACTTTATGCTGTTGAGTATAATGGTAAGTGATTTTACTTGCCTGGAGATTCCATTCTAATAAATAAAGTCAATAATCAATCAATTGGACTCTAATCTGTGTGCTGAAAAAACATGAAAATAATCTTCTATTTAAAACGTATTTAACTATGAACCAGTGTATTTATGGGGCAACAAGCAAAATATAAAAACAGAAGAAATTACAGAAAAATTCACTCGAGTTATGATGCAAAGAAACCTAATGTAGCTTTGAAACCTCTTGAAACCAAAGCATACACAGTATGTAATTATAAGGGTTGGTATGACATGAATAAATACTTTCTAAAAGGTTATTTATGTTCATTCTTGACTAAGACGTTTCTTACTTCTATGGATTCACTCAGACAGAGTCCGTTTGGAAACGTTTGGAAAGTCGATGAGTATTTCACTTCTTCCAAAATGACATTAGGCACCATAATGCATGCACTACACCATAACATAAAACCTGCATTTCTTACCTACAAACATCTCTTTCTCCATTTTATCCTCTTGTTTATCCAGCTTCTTCTGCTGTATCTTGCCCAGTCTCTTTTTATCATACCTGCAGCAAAATAGAGGAAAACAATGAATATGTTTAAGACATTTAAACAGATGAATTTATTTGATTTAAGCAATGTGGGGGAAAAATACTGGCAATATTCTCTAAAGGTGAATAAATCTGACTTAATGTATCAGGGGAAAAACCACAAGGCCTCCCCTGATTATCCAAAACATTCTTCCATACATAAAAAAATAAATCTACTGAAAACATCAAGTGATCATTATTGGTCTATATCATATTTGGCTTAGTGTTTAAGCCAGAGAAATTGATTTGCTGTAACTTAAATTTTCTGTAATGATCTAATCCAAGTTATCTTTACAGGCTGTTTCAAATAGAGAAGCACCGATCAGATACCTGGATCGGATATCAGCTCGGATATTGACTAATTAACTGGATCAGATATCTGTGATTTAATATCAGGGATCCAACCCAGCAAAGTCTACATGGGACTGACATTTTTTTCTTTTAGCTGCTTATTTTTTAAATACACAGTAAAAATCAGTGTTAAAATCATAGGTATAGTGTTAATTAAATATTATGAGTGTTTAATTAACAATACCCAGCAGGAAAATAACACTGCTAGTGTTACTTGTGACATATTTACGTTGTTAGAATGGAGTGTTAACCGTTTGCTGCTTAGTTTAAGCCACAGCCCTCACATAGAGGCTGCAAACAGCATAACCTAATTTTTTGGTTGAAGGAGACGCCAGCTTCTTTTCCAATGTGAAAATGCCTGTTTTATAAAAAAAAAAAAAAACAACAAAAAAAAACCTCAACATCATAGTCAACAACAATGAACCATTTCTTTTGACTACTAAGGACATGAGTTTATTTGAAGAGCAGCTGAGTGCTTTCAAAATAGATAGTGGAGGATGCTTTTGCCGTTATCTTTGTGTCAGACCTGATATCAGCCTTATGACAGTCAGTTTTCAGGTGATAATGATGAAAAAAATGTATATTTTGCCCCGGTGCTGTTATATATGAGCTGAGGATTGTTTGAGTTGTAGACGTGGCTGACCCGGGTTTGAATCCAACCTGTCGTCCTTTCTCACATGTCTTTCCCCATTTACTGCACTCACTTTCCTGTCAGCCCACTGTACAAAAACCAAAACACTAGTGATGTAAATATAATAAATATATTTAGGATAAAAGAAATGGTCTTCAATGTTTTCCAGGCCAAGGACCCCAAAACGGATGGAGAGATGGAGCGGGAACCCCCTAATTATATATATTGTATGAAATTGTGTTATATCAAACTGGTCCTATAGTCACTCTATTACAGATGAGGTCATGTAATGAATGTAATTTCTCCCTGGGATTATTAAAGTATTTCTGATTCTGATTTCTTGTTGTTGGGACAGGTGTTGTGACTGAAATGGTGCCTAGCTTGAAAGAGCTCCTTTGTGTCGCTGAATGTGTGCATTGATGACTGAAAGACATCTTCAATGCTCCATTTATCTGTTTACTACAGTATGTTGAATTCATGTTAATGTGTATTTAAAAAAAAATTTAATTAGTGGAAAAAATTGCATTAAAACAAAAGTCTAATCAACCAAAACTTTCGGGACCCCCATGCAGTATTTCTGTGGACCCCCTGTTAAAGACCCCTGTTCTAGGGGATGGGGAACCTGCTTTCTTTCCACAGCCTCCCCACTCCAACAGGTGAAATCTAAAGGTCTTAAAAGAAGGTCACCTTACTTATAAACATTCACAACACTGACTCACTCTTTCTTCTTCTCAGATTTCCCCTTTTCTGCAGACTTCTCCTGTTTGTCTGCATCAAGCTCGGGTTTTCTCTCAACTTGGTTATTTGTGAGGAAGGAAACATAATTTGTCTCATTCTCCATTCGCCTCAAATAGGCACCAACACTTTCTTTCTTCCCCCTCTTGAAGTGAGGGACAGCGATGTCTCCATCAGAGGCATCTTCTGCTTTAGACTGCACAGCGATGGCTGAAGAGAAAACATTAGATTAAATGCATATATTATTTATGTATACTGTCAGTTATTAGATGATTAGGTTAAATGCTCACCCTTTTTAAGCTTTTTGCTCCCCAGAGATGCGCCTTTCATTCTTTCCTTGCTCTTCATGATCTCTCGCAGCCTGAACGGGATGTGCTGCAGGTGATCCTCCTGTTTGGGTTTCTTTGTTTTGCCATCTCCTTTAAATTTATTCTTGCTGTAATATTACAGTACATTTTATGTTCGCAGTGGTTAAACGTTTGGACAGTCATCTAGTTTTATGTGAACACTGATTTCTATTTTACTTCTGTCTCATCACCAGGATCACTAGACTGAGAGGCTAAAAACAATTAGCTTTCTTTGCTACTTAGCTTGTCCACTGATACTGTTACAAACGTTCATTTCCTGGACTTACCTTGGCTCGTGTCCGGTCTTGCCCGTTTGCTGTTTGGTCTCCTTGGATTTATTTGTTTTATTTTTCCCCATTTTAGATTTTATAGAGCACTTTGTAGCATTTTCACACGTGGGACTGCATGATGTCCCAGACCCCGGAAGCAAATCGACTCAATTCCGAGAAAAAAAATAAAGAGAGCTCACTGTAATATGTTTGTCTGTAAGAAAATGTTAATAACTAAAATCTACTAATAACTTCAATCATTTGTTTAAAGAACATCGGGCAGTAATTATGTAACTCTAACCAATTGGTTCTAGTGGTGCTCTGACAAGATAAGTCAAGAACAAAACAAAAAAATTAATATATGAGTTGGATTCTTGTTGGAATTTTACAATTCCGAAGTGATCCATCTCAACAACAGACGAGCTTTGATGAAAATGCAAAATTATTGCTATGAATGTATCTCACCGCTAGAGGTCAACAAAGCTCCGACTTTTAAAATAAGCGGTCTTTTTTGTTGTCTGGATATTCTTGTTGTAAAACTATTAAGATGTAGGAATATTCTAAAATATAAATAATAAATATAATATAAATATTATATTAGGAAAAACTAAGTAGAAAAGCAAATAAAAAATAAACAGATTGGTTTTAACATATTAAGATGAATTATTTACAAAAGCTATATATTTAGTAATATAATTACTCTATTTTCATAGATTTTTTGTTGTTGATGACAGTGTTTTTAGTGTTATTATCTCTACAAACTAAAATAAACCAAGAGTAAAGTACTATTTTTTGTTGTTGTTTAAAGCTACAGTGTATACTTTTCAGCAACATCTAATGGCCAGATATCAGGGACAATGCTTTTATAAAATAAATTTTGGTTTACATCTAGAAATACTGTATGTCTTTCTACCTCCAGCGCAGACACTGACCAGAGCTCAGTTGTTGTGTCCACATGTAGGCTCCTCTGATCCTCTGTGGTCTGCCTTCCACCTCCTGCAGTTAGCCTCTATACTGTAGGCTACCCTCAGCCTGTCGCTGCCTATTCTTGCTCTTTTTCTCTGGCAGGCTTCTCTAAAGTACCGCGGTCATCCTCAGCCACAGTCTCTCTCCATCATCATTAATGCTCTGTTTTCTATAAGCTTTCTTTTCCACTGTTAACTCTCTGCATTTAACCCATCCCCTTACGGAGCAGTGGGCTGCCATTGTGCGGTGCCCAGGTAGCAGAGTGGGGGTTAAGGGTCTTTAATCAAGGACCCAGAGTGGCAGGCTGTTGGAGTGGTGCTTGAACTCAGAACCTCAGGATTACAAGCGCAAGGCAGGCATTAGTGTGAAGGGTCGTGCCTAAGGACCCACATTGGCAGCTCATTCCCCCAGCTGGGATACAAACCCAGGATTCATGTTTGCAGGGTGGGCTGCTTACCACTTTAGCTAGCCAGCCACTATTTTTTGTTTTTTATAGTTGTTTTGTAAGGCTGCCAGCTAATGTGTGGTGCCAGGGGAGCAGTCTGGGGTTAAGGGTCTGGCTCAAGGACCCTGGGTGGCAACCTGTGGGGCTGGAACTCAGAACCTCAGGATTCCAAGGTCTATGCACTAACCTAGACTGTCCTGCTTTAAACCTCTGCAGTGAACTTCTATAACTAGCCTGGGTCAGTTGTAGACTCTCCACCGCGTTCAGTGCTCTGTTTGACTGGGGCAGGCTTTTCTTATCCACAGCTGTGCTCCTCAACTCTCCTCCTGAGTTAGAGGGGGACAGGCTGGCTGCTTCCCGGCTATGGAACTCTCTCAGCCGGTGTTCTCTCACTGATTTCCTGCTGCTGCTGTCTGAGCAACAGAACGTTGTTCCCCTTTCCTCTGTTGTCCGGGTGGTTTGTCTCCCCTTTTTGCCACTCTTACCAAAACAAACATGGACCAAGCACAGAGAAAGTAGCTTAGATTATTTTATAAATACTATTTTTATTAGTCTGTGTAGGATAGAGATTTTGCATAGGCCTAACTTGCCAGAGTCACAATCGAGTGTAATGGTGATCTCTAGTTTCTAGTTTTTCAACTCTGCACTGCTATAGTGTAAAGATGTCTGCCTCCATATAAACCCCATGTAATCATAAACAGCAATATCTAAAACAAAGCAGACATAAAGCTTGAGACTTCCAGTTTATAGATAATAAATAACATACTCATGTATAATATTTTAGATTTTTTATATTAGTAAATTCCTAAAATTAGTACACACTCTAGCATCAAGTGGTTGTTATATCTGTCTTAAATTTATTTTTTTAATTATAAAAGCATAATTGTGTTGTTAATTTTTAGGTAACTATTAGCAGGTATCAAACGTATAATTTTGTGAAATTTCACTTTTTGGTGCAAAAGTTTGTTCCATCAGTGTATTTGAGAAAAGGTAAGGAAATGTTATTACCAATATTTGTTTCCCACTCTAGTACTGCATATATGCAGTATACTGTCTGTGCATGTGTTTGACTCCAGATTAAGGAACCTGTAGCCCATCACATGAATGGACCACACATGTGTTTAGCTGTGTGTCAGGGAGGATGGATTGGATTATCATGTATAATGCAACTCAATCTGTAAGACTGCTGATGAAAGTGCAATACCCAGAGATCACACTTGCCTGTTCTTGACGTGGGCTGTTGTGTAATCTTAGAGGAGTGATGTGACCATAATCATCATAGCATATATGCATACATAATTAAGCTTCTGGGAGGTTGTGGAAATCTCCAAATCATATAAACTGTTGTTAAATATGTTTTTTGTATCTGTCTCTGCTGTTAAGAGTCTGTCAGGAACATACATGATGTCCTTAAATGCCCCCCTGCCTCGTCCAATGCTCTGTTACCATATCCAATACAAATGACGTGTATACATTTTATTGGCTGATGTAATCTTAATCTCATCAGAATCTGAACTCTTTAAAAGGACAGAGCGAAGCAGCAGTCACTGTTTGGCATAAAGGGAAATTTCTACGGCATAAACAGGGAAAATTAATAGGAGCACAAGTGGTGAGTATTTAAAATTGAAGCTTTTAACTGTTTTTTGTGAGCAATCTTCTTTTTAGACATTGGTTAATATGTTATATATCTTCAAAATTGTATGATTGTATAATTTCAATTGTAAATTTGTTGACTTGTTGACTTTTCTGGTATTTCTTTTAATATATTGTGGCATTACTCTTTTCAATTAGAATTAAGTTGATTTCCTAACAGTCAATTTTCCCCTGAAGGAAAATTTCCTCTATGCTATAGTAAAACATGTTAAACATCTCAAAGCATAAGATTTTAAAATTAATTTTGCTTACCCAAAACAACATTTTCTCCAAAAATGTTCTGTTTGAAACAGTTTTTACACAAGTAATGGTTGATAATGTGGTAGACATAGAATGTCATAAATAAGGTTTAAGAATTGTATTACCTTGATTCATATTTATTATTTCCTTTAGTCCATAGTATTGATTACATTTGATTAATTATTTGTTATCAAGAAAAGTCTTAGAGGAACATTTTAGTGGTGATATTTCTGCAATTTCAAGCTAGTTTTTGCACAAAACTTTCTCTCTGAAAACTTTTTGCTTTTTTAGGTGTTGTTACATCTGGGTTTAGCAGCAAATTCAGCATGTCCTCAGAGTAATCTGATTATGAGGGATCTTAGTTATCATCTAGTGTAGATTAAGTGGGTGACCATCCGATTATAGGAGCCTCTGCAGCCTGCAAATAAGTACATTGCCTTAATTGTTTTGCAGTTTTAAATGGAAAGTAATATGGATAATTCTAGCTCAAATAAGCTCTATAGAGATGTTTATCTATTGTTTTCTTTCTCCATTGTTATTTCCTTTGGGTGATATTACATCTCTCCCAAATCAGTTCAAGTAACAGAGGCATGAATCTGGACATAGCCAAACCAGACGCAAAGACTGGTGGCAAAGCCCCCCTCAGAGCCACAGCTCCTGGTTCCCCACGGAAGGCCCCACCCAAGTTCAAACAGAGAAACACTCGTCAATTCAAGAGCAAACCCCCTAAGAGAGGAGTTATTGGGTAAGACCTCTTATTCTCATATTTGTTTACAAATGTTGATGGCAACCAAATAAAAGTAATGCAATTCTGATTATCACCAGCTTTGGAGAAGATATTCCAGGAATGGAGGGACTTGGCACTGGTGAGCACAATAAAAGCTTTTTACTCGTATTTAACGACCACCTGTTTTTATTGCTTTAATTTATCGTAACTAATTCCCTTTCAGATATCACTGTGATCTGCCCCTGGGAGGCGTACCGCCATCTAGAGCTACATGAGCTCGCTCAGTACGGCATCATTTGAGTCTTCAACATATAAACACCTTTCCTCTCTCAAAGGAAACTATTGTAAAAAGGATATTTAGAAATTAATCAAAGTAAAATTTTTTTGCTACTTCTGAAAGGCAAATGTTAGAATTATATTAGGACATCATGTAATATGTGTCTGGCATATTTTGGTGTTTTTTTGTGTGTCAAATATATTATATGAGACTTTCAAGCTGCCATTTCTACACCCTTAAACTATATTGCTGTTCTTGCATTATACCAGCACAATGTTTTTTTGTACTGAACTCAAAATAAAGCTTAAACTTTTTAAAACATTGATCAGGTTTGTTTTCTTATTGTCACAATGCCATAAAAAGTCAAATCTAAGATATTTTTTTGTAATGTTGTGTAGTTTCGTTTACCTAAACACTTAGAATAATTAAATCTCTTGATAAAACACATTTATGTTAGACTGTTTTACATTAAGTTTTGAAACTCTGTTTATGCAATCAGAGGCTATATAATTAGTGATAAAATTTGGAGTATTTGTATTAGGGCTGAAACAATCGGATTAATCTATTATTGAAATAACTGTCAACTAATTTAATAACTGATTAATCGCTAACTGTATTATAGAGACTAAAACTAGTCTTTAGGTGACAGAGCAACACACTCAGAGCAGTAATTACCGTATATCAAAATTGTAAAAAAAACATATAAAAGTTTTGTATTTAAGATAAAAAAAATTGCTTTTTGTCTGCCAGTATGCTCTATCCAGAACTCCTCAAGTGAAAAAAGTTTAAGTTTCACCTGGTTTAATTTCGTAAAAATTCTTCTTTAATGAACCTTTGGCAATCGATTATTAATTAATTAACTGAAAAAAAAAAAATTATCGACAGATTAGCTATAGCAAATTAATCGTTAGTAGAGGCCCTAATTTGCATATTGTGCTGGTGAATCATATCCATGCTGTAAATTAGTCTTAAAAAAGTGAAAGATATAAACAAACAAACTATGAGGCAAAACAAATATTTGATCTTAAAGTTTAAATGAATCCATTAATCTGGTCTGCTTGGCACATTTCAAATAGCAAGGGCAAAAAAGTTGTAAAATCTAAAGCTCAACAAGAATCTTGCGCCACATAACTGCATGGTTGGATGCCTTGAGACTGTCATTTATAGTTTTTTGAGACATTGCTTTGCCAAACAAAGCGAGTGCCTAAGTGTCAACGAAGAGACGGACAGATTCTAATACAGCGTCTGAATGAGAAAGCTGTAAAAAAGCAACAGAAAACTCCTCCACGACCACATGGCTTCACAATGACTTGGCAGGGTCGAAGGGTTCCAACTTTAGTGGTTAGAAGATCCCATACTGGGGATGTTTTCTTTATGCTGCACAAAATGGTGGAGGCTTCATCTATCTGGATCTGTTTTTCTGCTACAAAACAATGTAGCATGCATGACTGAAGACATTCATCTTTGATTTGATTGACTTTGCCCACAGGACATTGCTGCTCTCAACAACTCAAATTTTTTTTTCTTTCTTTTATGCCCTCCTGCAAGATTTCTATAATCTATTAGTATTGAAATGAATTTTCTTAGTTTAAAATATATTTTTTTTTGCAAATTAATTTATTAGTGATCAAGTCCAAATCAAAAAACATAAAAACAAACCAAACAGCCATGCCTCTTTTTAGCTACATAATGTATTTATATTATACATTAACTTTATGCCAGCGGATGCTTTCCGTCAGTCTTCTGGTGATCAGCACAGTAAGAATCTGAACTCCAACAACAACCACTCCGATGGTCCCGATCAGGCCCTCATGCTGCTCAATCCAACGAGAGATTCCACCGAGGCAGCCCCCTAAGAAGATCACGCTTTGAGCAGTGAACTCGTCCATGAGCTGGACTCCAACGCCACACTGTGAGTTCCACACCGTGCCGTTCTCAAACGGGTCCAAGCAACACGTTGCAGGGACACCACAAGCCAGCACTCCTGGAGCTGAGCAGTTGTAATACCTATAAAAAAAGCAACATTTTTTAAGTTGATGCTCAATTCTGGATTGACTGATATAAAAAATAAGTTTACCTCACATTTTACTCACATGTTAATCTCCCAATCCCGGAATGTATCCGCCCCACAGCACTGCAGACTCAACTGGATTTCATCTGTGATGAATTGAAGGTCCAGATCATCTTGATAGCGTGTCATGGCAGCTAATATCCCCGACCGCAGGTACCCTTCGATTTGGTCCTGCATGCTGTAAGCCACGATCACAAACAGCACCTGGATTGTGATGAGCACCAGCACGATCCAAGAGAACAGCTTCAGCAAGCAGCAGTTCTCTCTTAAGGCACCAACACAGCCAGTCAGACAGAGAAAAGTGAGCAGCAAGCCTAGAGTCAAAAGTATCAGCATTGGATCCGTGCCGATACTTCCAATCTTCTCTAGGGCGAGTGATTCTTTGCTGACAAGCCCCCAGATCCCCAAACCAATAACCACCAGGCCCAAAACTGTAAATACTAGGTTACACAGGAACAGTAAGTATTTTAGGAAATAATCCATCAAAGAATAACTGTAATGAGGGCGGATTCTTGTGGGAATGCAAGGATCCTCATCGCTGCGAGTCCCTGGTGGAATTTCCCTGTCAACATGGCCGAGCTCCTCATCCTCCACTTTTGCAGCACCTGACTTGAGACAGAAATATAGGTTTTAAAAGGGCTAAAGCTGAGAAAAGCACAGCATTTATAAAAAATAAGATTAAAAGACCTACCTTTGGTATGAGGGGGCTGGACTCATTCTGCCCATCATCCCTCCTAGACCAGGGCCATGGAAAGTTCTTTATGGGTAAATATTGCCGCATATTGTCATCCAGTAGGAGACAACAGGCCCAGTGCTTTGAATTCCTTTGAGAAGCTCAAGTTGAAAGTGAATGCAAAAATTTGCTGCAGCTGAGAAACCAGTGTGATGATGCTGAGTGACCCTGCTGTGTTTAGCGTCAGAGGGCTGTGAGGCAGGGCCTTTTTTTCATCATGTGATAGTCACAATGAGGGGATTAGACAGCTATCAGAGCCTAAATACAAGGAGCTTTTCATGTAAGGTTTTTGCAAAAATGAATGACCTGAACAGAGAAAATGGAACGGTCAGAGACAAGATGTGTTTTCAAGACACAAGGAAACAGTTTATATGAAGTAATAAAACAAAACTAGTCATACAGTAACTTTTACAGCAGGTGGTTTTATTTTCCGTTTATTTCCAGAAAAGATTTATTCATATATTCATAACCATAATTTTTTTTTTCTTATAGTTTTGCCTAATGCAAAACAAATGTATTTCATGTGGATGTAATAAACCAATACAAATCAGTAGCCTACATGGTTGTGATGTGGAAGGCAAATTATATTTCCATAGTAAGTAGAACATTTTTCTGCAATAAGAGCTTACTCTGGTAATGTATGTCTCCACCAACTTTGATAGTGAAACTTTTCTTACTTAAAATATTGCTCAGATTCAAGTCATTTGCTTCGGTCCAAACCATTTCATTGTGGTTCTGACACCATCAGTGGCTGACTAAATACTTTTCTCTCACTGTCTAACAAATATCTTAATTTAACCTATAAAACTATCTGTAAATGTAAATTTGAAAAGAGGAAAAAGATCATTTTTGATGAAAGGAACAAAAAAGAACATGATTTATGTGATATGTATCTGAGATTTCTTCCCTCTTCTCTGATATTACTTTCCTTAATAAGCTGAAACAACACAGGGAAAAATCTGGAATTTTCTTTTTTAATTCAAAACACGTGTAAAGCTTTCTCTCCTTTTTCCTATATTACTGTCAGCAGAGAAGCTGGAATGAAAAACAAAACTTCCAGTACTTTTTTTTTTAGATTTGAAAGACAGACATGGCGTTTTAAACATTTAACAGCCAGAGAAGCTTAAAAAACAAATCCTAAATCCATATAACCGTGATAAAGGAAAAGTAACACAAGATTGTAATCCAGTAACAATCACAACATCAGAGTTTATGAATGGGGAGATTTTTTTTTTTTATGTATAACTGTGTTGTATGGTTATGTCTGCACTGATGGAGCATTTTTTTTAGGATATTAGAACAAACCTTCTATAAATTGACTTTAATTATATTCATCACTGAATAATTCCCAAAGAGTAATTCAGTTCTGGTACAGCCTGTCCAGAGTTGGCAAAAGCTTCCATAAGGCATTGAAGAGAGGTTCTTAAGAAGCCGAGTCTTTAAATGGGACCATTAGATATTAGTAAATAGTAAATAAATACTTTTTTCTTTTTTACATAGTGGCACTTATTCATTATTAATGACTAAAATAGATAATAATCCAAAAATAAAAGTTTTTATGCTATGTTAATTTTAGTCCCATGATCTGATATTCCTACATCATACACTAAGCAGCTGCAGATTTCCTGTCTATGGGTTTAACATTGGTACAATAATCCAGACTGCTGTCGGTTCAACACCTTTTTAGCAGATTTAATCTTCTGAATTCATTTATCACATCAACTGTTTGCAGATTTCAGTGATTTCCACAGATCTAGTAACGAATGATAATTTGAAGGAGAACTTTTTTCTGCAAAGTAGCAAACATTTTAAATACAAAAAAGAAAACTTGTTCAACTGATTTAAATTTTCCTACCTCTTGAGTCCTGCTTAAATTCTCCACATGGAAACTTCTAGATGCATTTAGGCTTAGAAGAACAAAAGCTTCAAAAATAAAAAAGATCACCATCTACATAATCTTGAATTTGTATGGATGGATAAAGGTTCCTCTTCTCCTGTCAAACTAAATGTCATCCTTATATTTTCATATAAAATGTCAAACTAAATCAACTCGTGGAATAAATCATTCAGCAGCTTGCTTCAATAAGCAATAGAAGCAATTTATTGATGAGAAAAGTTCTTCAACGTTGATTCATTCCCCTTTAATTCTCTCTTAAAGATGAATGGAACCTTTAAACTGACTTTCTGCTGAAATCAATAATCATTTTTCATTTCCCGCATTCTCTTCAGGGCGTTTGAGTCAGTAGGTTTCGATAACCTCTGGCTGCTACACAGACTAATTTTGGCTGGTGCTGTCAGCCCAGATGGTTAACAGATTGGATTACAGTAGAGGGTAAGAATGTTATCTTGGAGCCATAGTGCTACATCAAACACCCCTGCTGGATCAGAGCCCACAGGGGGCGTCGCTGCCACCAAACTGGACTCTGCTGATTGATGAGTAGATAATGTATCTATCAATATGTATATATTAGTGATTTAGAGGACCATTTGAGAACATCTAAATAATTTTTTTAATCTAGCTGTGGGAACACATGCTAAAATATTAGATTGTGTCACCGCCCTTCATCACTGACGTGGAGAAGAGCAGGTGGAGTAAAGGCTCAGAGAGATTGGAGGCAGTCAGAAGAGAGCTTATATTCTATTTGTGTCATTCCTGAATGATTTTACCCCGTCTTTGGCTGATTTAACTTTTAGAGACCTTTGGATCTACATCACCAAGGTAAAATTCAAATAGAAACAAATTATTTTAACCTTCATGCCTCTAAAGCTAAACAAGCATAGAGTATTTGATGATTTAACCTTTAAATACAACTTTGAAATTGGCTTAATTTCAAGTTATTTCTATAAAAAAATGTATGAAGTTAGTGTTTTTTCTTTCTTCTAAGTCTGTATTTTCTGCTTTAAAAAGTAGCAATGGGGCTGAAGGTTTTGGCTCTTTTCTGCATGCTGTCAGCATCTGGAGCTCAGAGATGGAAACAGGAAACCTCCCGATGGGATCCTGAAGGTCTGGAATAACCTTGTGTTTCTGTCATTAATGTTTAAAATGCCTTAAATCCACACATTAACATGTGTTTATGTGTTCAGAAGAACACACCAGCAGTAAGACCTGCTCCAACCTCACCCAGGTACTGGATAACTGGAAGTTTGCTATCGTAACCCAAGTGAAACAGCTTCTTATCAATGACCATGCCTCTGTTCTCCCCGAATACACCAGGTGAATCCCTCTCTACCTCTGTAGTGATGCTACAAGCTCTAATAGATCAGGTCTGAAGCCTGTAGGAAATGAGAACCATCCATAAAGACAGTCAACACATTGCTGGTCGTCTTACAACATTTGAAGATTATGTAACATGTCCCTGGTTTTTAAATGATCTCACTGCCGTGACTGAGCCAAAGGAAATGAGGGAAATGTTTCAGCCACATGTTCTGCTAAATCTGATGTTTCTAAAACTCTCCAAGTCATTCCTCCAGAGACCGGGATTATAACTGACTAAATGACTTGTGATTATCGTTAAGTAAAAGTTGTAGATCAACTGCCATGAATTTAAGATCCATTTAGTACAACTTTGTTTTGAATTATTATGATCTAAAGAGACGTTTGATCTTTGCTCTGTGATTCCAAAGTTTCTGCTGATTGTGCATCTGTTTCTGCTTAACAACATGTTATGATTTACAGTCTGTTTCTGTTTTGTTTCAACTGGTATTTTCTTATTTCCCTGTGTCGTTTGAGGTGTTGCAGAGCCAATTTTTTTATAAACCTTATTGAAATGGTAAGATGATTTTAATTATGATGTGTCTGTGTGTGGCTTTAGGATTCAGCCTCTGTCTGAGGCTGTGGGAGATCTCTACCATCAGTTTAACTCTCTAAAAGATGAGCTGGGGAAGCTCACCTTTAAGTTTGATGGACTGGAGGCTTTTGTGGATGAGCTGAAAGAGGGAAGGTTCACTGTACCTAAGCGGCCGATGTTAAGGATTCCTCCCAGCTTTGGTCTGAAGTCTCCACTGGGTGCACAGAGGAGGGCTCCTGATAGGAGGATCATCAGTCAGCAGACATTGGTCAGAGCCAGGAGAAGAGGCACATAGAGACAATTCCAACATTTTCTATATCATTATAGCTAGAGGAATTACATAACATAAGCTATTCTTGGCTAATCACTAATGACATAATATTTGAATCATATAATTTATATGTTTCCTTTTTTATACTCTCCCACAAGATGGCACCATTCTCCCAGTTTTTTTTTTTTGTTATTCTGTTTCTTTTTAAGAATCAGAATTACTTTATTAATCACTTGCATTTCCTGTAATTTGTTAGAATATAAACACAAAGGATGCGTCATGTGCATGTGATCAGTAATTAGAAATCTGCATTTCTTAAACACAGAATATAAGCATCAAACTATGCATGCAGGCGACGTAAAACCACACATCTGCAAATGTTTATACTTATAACAGCAAGTGAAGAGCATTAAGCCCATGTGTCCTATATCCAAGAAAGGGAGTTCAGTGCATCACACAAGAGGTGAATAATGATAAACATGTTCCTGTAAGGCAGCTTTTAAAATTACATTTATTTGGAAAAGGACACAACATTTTAACACAGTTTACATTTAAGTTTGTTCTACATTTTTATTCTGTACTCAGTATTTAGAACTGTCATCGGTTTGTGCTCAATGTTTCTCCTTGAACAATAATTAAAAACCTGCAATGGCAAATGATGTGGTGCTCAACAGTGCAATCATACACATAAAAGACAATTTTTTCAAGAAATACTTCAGATTTGAGCTTTTTATACCAAATTCAATTCAGATTCCTTTTTAAGTGGTGCTCCTGCTGCCTCACTTTCATATTTTAGCTTGTAAAGAAAGATAATAAAAATTAGTTGATAGTGTAACAATGTTATTATTATTTTTTTTACTTACCTTTATCCTTTTTTTTTTTATAGTGCCAATTCAAATAAATTAGCAGCAACTAAAAATACCACAGAGGGAGAAGCAATAATGCAAAATAAGTAAACAAAAAAAAAACTAATTATGAATATTGAAATATATATAAAAGTAAACAAATGGGATTTTTAACAGTTTGACTTTTGGGGTTTTTGTTTTATTAAATCAGTTGAATGTTTTTAAAAATATATATATAACCCAATGGTTAT